AGTGGAGCTGAGGTGTGCACCCTCTTGTTGTTTCTATTGATCAGGTTCCCGCTTGTGGGTCAAACTCTGTCTGCTCCAGCCATCCTGTGGCTTGATTCCTTGTCTTGTGAACTCTTGAGTGGCTTGCTTGTAGCTAGCTACTCGGTTCAACGTTCACTGTCGTTCTGCTGTTGTTGCAGTTGCCGTTATCGTAGATGCAATTCGAATTTGGTTTGGTTGATTCATTGTAATCGGTTTGGTAGCGGTAGATACCGTTGTGGGCTGTTGTTGCCATCGATGCTGGCTGTTTATGTAGCCATTGATGGTTGTTGGCCGTGTAGTTGTGGCCATTGGTGCCGTTGATGGTTGCGGCATTGCCTATAAAGGCGGATGTTATGATGATTTTGTTTGTAGGATTGTAGGTTTTGGATTTGGGTACCCTCACACTCCTGTGCACTTGCTGTGATCAAATAGCAAGGGCATGGTCTTGTAATTGTAGCTGTTGTTGCCTACCTGGAGGCTGGTGTTGCCTCAGGTTTGCCTGTAATCAGTGGAGGAAGTGCTGTGGATAAGTTGCACAATACATTCCATAAAAGGTAGTAGGAGGTGCTGTGGCTGGGATGCCACAATACACACTCCATGAAAGGAGAGGAGGTGCTGAGTGTAAACTCAATACACACTCCAAAGAAAATATTCAATGCTGCTGGAATGCACTCCTGTGCTTCCTATTGCTTCCTGCACTGCTTGCTTCAGTAGCGCTGGTTGCTGCACTGCTGTGGTAGCTCTTGCGCCGGCTGACTAGCTAGTAGCTGGCTCCAGCTAGCGCTTGTAGCTAGCACGGGACATGCTCCGGTAAATCCTGTACCGGTGGCTTGGATCTCCGTGGGAAATCCTCTTTTTGTACTGTACGGAGAGATCTTGATCTGGCTCCGTACACTCCTGAAAAGATATCACGGAAGATACCTTTTTCGTTGTGACGTTCAGCGGCTTCTTTGCTTTCTTGAGGTCGCTCGCTGAACTGCCGGCTGTTCTTTGCCGTTCCGTGGAACGATTTCCTCACAAATTTCGTGCTGGCACTTCTTCTTCTCTTGCTGATCGGCACGATGGTGCTGTTGTTGCCGCTATCGGTATAGTTGATGACCGATTGCTTTAACAGTAGCGGTAGCGACCAGCTAATAGTAGCTGTCACTAGTAGCGTTCGTTGTGCTTCGTCTCTTAGCACTCGCTAGCGGCCGATGTACTGTATGCCTGCCGACTCTGTCGGTATCAATGGCGCGGCTGATACTAGTTCTTGTTCGTTCTGTGGAAAGGCTCCACAAAAAACAAAGTCTTCTTCGGCCGACAGCAGTTGCCGACACAGTTGTCAATCGACAGACACAATGGTGTTGCCAATCTTGTGGTATAGCGGCAGTGACTGGCTAGTAGTAGCAGTCGCTGGTCGTGTCGTCTTGTTGGTGGAATTGCAAAATTCGCAAATTCGCTCTTGTTCAGCCTGTTGCCGATAGATGCAACTCGTTTCCGGTTGCGTTCGACAGCTTGCACTCTTGGGGCCTGTTGCGCTAGTGTTCAAAACACAACTTCCTGTATGACAGTCCTTCCGTAGGACCTGTCCTTGTCGAGTAATCGGCCTGGTAAGATGGCTTGTTGCGGCAGAATTTTCCCTCGCACCTCTTGTCTATCAGCTCTGAGTCGATGGCTTGATAGTGAGGCTAGGAACTCCCACGGAAGTACCTCTGTGGCATTCCTTGTTGGAACTTGTTATCCAACTCCTCTTCCGTGGTAACACTGGCTTCCGTGCCACTTCTGTGGCTTCCGTACTGTAGCCTTGTTCTTGTGGACTCGTCGTGGTAGCTAGCTAGATAGCTTGGATGACCACTCCTGCACTTCGATCGTGCAATGAGTCTTCTCTTGTAGTTGTCTTTCGTACCTGCACTTAGCAGTCATACAATGGCTGTTTCCGCAGCACAAAGTCTTCGGTTTCTCGCTCCGTATAGTAGTAACGGTCTGCTCACTTCTGTGAGCTTGCGCTTCCTTGCTCCGGAGCTCGTGTTCGTACTAGCTCACTCCTGTGGGCTTGATTGCTTGCGCGCTTGTTCAAGCAATAGAGTGGTGTAGTTAGTGACGCTCTTTCACGTGGTATGCTTAGGTTGTGGCGATTCGGTCGACTTCAGTAGGACCGTTCGCTCCGGTGTAGCCAATGTGGTGAGGCACGATTCTTTCCTGCTAGGCTGTTGGGATAGCTCTCTCGGTGAGGCTAGAGCCCTTTTTGCCTTGACCTTGACTCGACTCTGTTGAACTGTTTACCTTAGCTTGATATCATGTAATAGGATGAAGTCAATATCGATATCACCATGTTGGTGATCTCGAATTCGAGATGAAGGTAGAGCTTCTTGGAAATAGTGTTGGTTTCTAGTAACACTCTAGCTTAGTAAAGGTAAAATACTGTTTTACTGTTAAGCTATTTCCAAGAAGTGATCTTTCTCCATGTATTTCTGGGATTGATTCAACTTCAAAGGATATAGTGAAGGGGGTGACCATATAGATCAGTTAAACTCCCCATGTATGTAACTAGAGAATAGATATAGATATCCCCTATAACTAGATTGGGATAAACGACTAATTTGTATTGAGGTGTCTGTAATACAACCTCCAACACCTGTGTTTCACATACTTGAATAGATCATCCAAAGGGAGCCTCCAGATGCCATCAAAGCTTTGAGGAACGCCTAGACCTTTCGCAAGTTGGACTTTCCAGATCTTCCTGATGATTTGCTTGTATTGTTCAAATGATGGAGGACTCAATGGGTCCTTTGGATCAGGACGATTCAACCTGGCTGAAGCTGCTTCCTTGTAGTCCACCATGAGTGCATCAAACTCCTCTTTGTTGAAATGCTTCCTCTGTTCCACTGGCTTTGCTCGCTCAGCCTTGGTTGGATGTTTCTTTGGCTCCCTGAAAGCAGTGTAAAACATAAATCTGTAGACCTTTTCATAGTCCAGCACTCTCCTGTTGGGATCATTAGGAAATGAATGGTCACAGTACTGGTAGTATTCATAGACCTTTGGATCCAGAGCAGCGCCGGTGTTGGTTGGCCTGTCGCCCTCAGTCATCTCCAACAAAATATGCTGCAAATTGTTGTTCAATTGACACTCCTCCTGGACAGTAACCACAGCCTCGCGTTGCCCATCTTCACCAATCCTATGCTCCACCACCCTTACTGATGCTCTTGGGGGAGAGGGTAAGCCATTAGCTATTGCGCTGACAGTTGATTTCGCCATCTTGATACTGTTGTGGCATTGCTCCGCATTGCTTGCTCCACGCTAGTAGCTACTAGCTCTAGCTCCTAGCTAGAGAGTTCGACAGAACAAACGACTGTACTCTACTCTAGGCCTAATGAGGGCGCCAACTGATGGTCGCTTTCAGTACCGATTGCTATGTCTTTACTAGCTACCCTTAAGTCTGTTATTTTTTGACTTGGGCTCCTTGTCGACATGTCAAGGAGGTTCGCGTGCATGGCACGAAAATCGTTATGCTCCAGTCAAAGAGGGTCATTTTGACTCTCCGTCAAATTTGGCATGACTCAGTTTTGACCTATGAAGGTATATTAAAAAGGACATTCATGCTTTTTCACAACAATCGCGCCGGGCGACACCCTTCAATTTCGGAGCTCCTGGGTTCGGATTTGTGCTCATGTAGAAATATGCCAGTGTTCTACAGGGCAACCTTGGATTTCTGAGAGGACCCTCGAATTTTCTTCCGGAGCCCTTGTGGCCAATTGAATCCAAGGCCGTAGGACATGGAATTTCTGGAGTGTTTGCTTGCTTCCCTTTGCAAAAATAGGGCATGGCCCGGGTTAGCAAGGAAGACAAGGTTGACCCAAAAACAAAACTAGCTGGGACCCAGCTGTTACATGTATGTAGCCTGTGGCTGGCCTGTCACTCGACTCAGTCGAGAGTCGAGTCACTCGTCCAGTCGTCCAGGACCGTTAGGTTGGTAAAAAAGGCAAAAGCTGTCTGTTGCAGCCCAAGCTGTGCAGGAGACAGCAGACATGAAAAGACACGGTACGCACGAACTCATGCTTCCCAAGCCAATAAACATCAGCGACTCCAATAGAACTCAATGTGCCCCCGTAAGTGAACTGCAAAGCCACGTCAGAATTCGTAGTAAGAACTTGAGGCAATACCGTCACCACTCACATTTTACATTACCTCCGGTTGGGACTGGCTAGACTACATGTACCCAATAGCCAATAACTTCCTCAGCTAACAGTTTGCCCCTAACCGGCTAGCTCTGCCGGTACTTGTAGCTAGTATGTACCGGTAGAGGAGATGGTGGCACCAGTATCAAGTGGTACTGGCGCTTTTGCTGGTTCCGGCCACAGCAGCCAGTATTTGATTGTGAGCTCTTCAGGCTCAGCTAGTTTGTCTTGGTGTGACTGAAGCAATAGTACTCATCTACTTTGAAGTCAATGATTGACACCCTTCTAAAAGGGGCCCAACTTCACGGAATGGATAGTAGACGACCACCAAGTCGAATATAGAACTCAGAAACGTGTACCTCCTGATTGACCTCTTACTCAGCTGATTGTTCAACTGGCTGTTTGGCCTTGGCTTCGGTACGGTCGCCAGTACGACTGTAGTTTTCGCCCAAGAACCGTTGGACCACTGATGAATTGGCTGAGCAGCCATTTTGTTGCCTCAATGTTATTTCGTTTCTTGGGCTCCTAGCTAGCTACCGGTAGGCAGCCAGCAGTCTTTAGGTACATGTGTCTTTACTGGCTAGTTTCAGGCAGGTGGTGCGGCTGTGTCTGCCCAAGGGGGGAGATTGCTTTCACATTGAAAGCTAGCTAGCTGTGTGTCTATATATAGTAAAGTCTTTAGTATTTGTTTGTCCAAAGGTGTGTCTATTGTACATTTTAAAAAGTAGTTTACAGGAGGGCGGTGTGGAGGTCGAAGGAGGCAGGGAGCAATGGAAGAGCTCATGCAGCGATGGCAAGCGACCTTGCAGAAGCAGATGTTACCAGGCGACGACTTGAGCACTGTTTTGCCAGAGAAGCAGACAGTTGTCCTTTGTTGGACTTGCTGCTCTTGGATGAGGAAGCTTCTTTCTTGGATTTGCTCTTGGAGGACTTCTTGGAAGTGCTGCCGGTGCTGTTGACATCGCATGAGATGCTCTTGCTCTTCTTGTAGCAAGCGTATTCATCGGCCTTGCCCATTCGTCGAGCAAAGATTTTGGCGGTGCAGCAGTATCGCAAGGAGAGTTCTCGAAGTTGTTCTGTGACGTCGCAGAGTTGAAGGCCACGATCCCGAGCTTCTTGTTGTCCCATGAGGATGGCCTTGATTGCCAAGGCTCGCTGAGACATTCGTTCTTCGTAGTGCTGTTGGGATGTAAGGCGTTCCAATCCTCGTCCGTCTGAGTGGCGAGTGAAGTCGTTGAGCAACTTTTGAGTGTCAGCGGCGGGGTTGGCAAAGGTGCTCTCGACAAGGCGGTCAACGCCTTCTCTTCGGAGCTTGATTGTGTGTGCTTTCAGGGATCTTCTGCTCTCGTAGTGTTCCTCTCCAGTGCACCAGAGATCATCAGAGATAAGTGCATCAAAGACATGGACGGTATTTTGCTCCTCGACAATGCGAAGAGACTTGGTGGTAGTAGAAGTAGAGCAGCTCATGTTTTCTTCTTGGGGTGTTTTTTGGTTGTGTGTTTACGATTTGTGAGGAGAAAGAGAGCGAGAGGAAGACCGAGAGAAGAAAAGAATGCCTGTGCCGAAGGCGCAAATATTTTCCAAGCTCAGACAAGATACTGCTGTAGCTAAGCTATACTGCTTGCTTGATTGCCTGCTTTGACACTCAGATGCCACATCGTGAGATGCTTGGGGCAATACAAATCTGGCATGAACACCACTAGCTTTATCCGTCTTAGAGACAAGGCATAGCAAAGCCAGCTGCTAGATCCCAAGCTAGGTGTCTTTGGCCATGAGATGTCTCTCATCCTGGACATCCAAAGCGCCACGTCGCCTTCATCCAAGCTGATAATAAGGCGGCTTTTTAGTTCTATTCGTATGGATTTCAGAACTCTCCAATCTTACGTAGTCCTTACCGGTATGGAAACCTGTATGTAAGCAGCTACTCTTGCACCCAAAGCTCAACCAGTGACCTTGACGTCAACAGCTACGTCAACCTTACCGGCATGGAAACTGAGGTATGTCACCGAATCAAGCGTCAATCTTCAAGTATGTCATACAAGTAGCAAGAAACGAATGCCAAAGAGCCCAAAGATCTTAACAATCTGTTGAGATAGATCATGAAAATGTCGTAATCTTAGGCTGTAAGATTGACATTGGTTTCTTCACAACAGATGCCCCAGATTGCCCCGGAAAAGACGACGTTAGCGCACCAGTGATCTTGAACGCTGAAGTTCCTGCTGAACTTTCCTTCAAGATGCTGCTAGACCTGCAAAGGCATCTCGGAAATGTCAAGACTCCTCAGAAATGTCAATCGAGTTATTAAACAAAATATCAATCGTAATGAACAGTAAAAGGCAAGAATTGTGCTTCGTCGCCATGTGAACAGGAACGAACTGGAAACCCACTTGTGAACTCCTAATTGCCTTTGGGTGGAATTGCCACCACGTACGTGGTTTTCTGCCACGTTAGTTTCCATCGAATGCTATGACATTGCCATGGCATTCTCAGAGCAACTCTTGTGGTTGCCATTCCTGTTGAAGTCATAGAAACGGCTACAATTGCTAGCAGCTAAGTAGTAGACACTATTAATAGCTAGTAGCTAGTAGACAGCTGTTCGCACCTCTTTCTAACAAAAGGAAAGGCATCGCCGATCAATCCTCTCCGACCTTGCAAAAATTTCTGATTGCCATGACTTAAAAAGGTTGAAGTGCCAAGGGACAAGCTGCTCTAAGAGCATGCGGGCTAGTGTGAAGCAAAGCAAACTGAAAATGCTTCAAGTGACGCAAACCATGTCCTATCATAAGTAAAAGTGTGACATGGGCGGTTATCGTGCTGCATGCCAAGCCGAAAAGCGTTGCACGACTGATTGCTGAAGGTTCCCTTTTGACGCAAACAGGTCTCCGTTTGGTGAAAAATCGATGGATTTAAAGGTTGCCGCAAACAGATCCCTTAAGTAAAAAATTATATTGTCACTAAAATGTCGCATTTGACACAAGACTCGTAAATTCGATAAATTTAGCGAGCAAGCATAGCCTGGCTGCGAGTCTGCATCACTTGCGTCAAAACAGCTGTTTGCTTTGCTTCACACTAGCGCGCATGCTCTAAAGTCATAGATACTCAGAGTGGTCAACGTCTCCTCAAAGAGGAAAGAGGTTGACATCGATGTCATCAGGCGCAAAACTTTCTTCGTTGAAGGCAAAGATTGAGCAATACTACCGGTACTGCTGGATGGTACCATCATTGCGTCCTTCCGTCCCTCCTGCTTCTCGTCGTCCTTCTGTCATTCCTTGGTCTGCAAGCAATCCGGAACCCGACAGACATCAACAACGGCAGAGCAAGCAATCGGGGCTTGCTGTTTCCTCTTAGTCTCTCTGTCGTCCTTTTTAGTCTCCCCGTCGTCCTTCACCTTCAACGCCGAGAATTCAATCCGATTTAGCCAGCACAGCTGAGAAGCAACGGTAGATTTGGCTAAAGCCTTTGGGGATGGCTCTCCTCCCTCTATTCCTGTACAGCACAGTGCCATGGCATGTTTCATAGACTGCATGTAGTAGTCTACTGTAACCCGCCAATGTGATTATGTTACACATACAATTCTAGCAGTAAGCGTGTTAGTCATTCCCTCTGGACTCATTCACCTCACGAATTGCACATTATTCTTCCAAAGTTGAGACCAACTGACTTGCTTTACCGCTACTGGTACCGGTTCCGGTATCAGAAAGTATGAAAACTGCATTTCTCTCTTGATCCCTTGGCGCTCTACTATTGATATTTTAAAAATAGCCATGCTAGCTCCAGGGAGGTACGTACCAGGTACCAGTAGCATGTACACTGTATGCATACCGGTACCGGTACCAGAGCTGGTAGCTTCAGTACCGGTACCGGTACCGGTACCTGGTACCGGTGCATGTTGGCTAGCTCGCTAGCTCTTTCCTTTCCAGGCCCGCGCCCGCACCTCATGATCACCCCACGAAAAAGCTCATTAGCCCTAGCCCTAGCCTTTTAATGAGCTTGTCTCTTTTGTCGACTGTCTTCTTGTGTCTTGCGTCCAACAACCACTACTGATACCCAGACACACATCCCTTCACACATCAACTGATGACTACCAACAGAGCAAGTTCCTCAGGAAGGAGACATGTGCTGTACATGTCGGACTTGTCATCTTCCTGGAAATCCGAGACGATTGCTCTACTTGTGAACAAAACCTTGGAAGATGGATCTTCTGGCAATGCTTGCACTTTGGTAGAGCCTGGATGTGTCCGTGTGGAATTTCTGCACCAGAATGGGCAGGTTTGCGACGACCACAATGATCACAAGAAGAAGATCTGCAAAAACCAAAAGACAGCGCCTGTGGCCTGCCTAGAGTTTGCTTCATCTGAAGAACGAGACGACATTGAGGTGAGCTACGATGGACTGGCGATTCCTCATACACACGGGTATCATCATTATCAGTTTCACAGAAATTGGCCTTCACTGCCATCTGCCAAGGACAATTCAGGCGCATTAGAAGGCTCAGCTAATCAATTGCTTTCAACCCCAACACCACCTCTGCATTTGCAAATCATGGCCATCCCAAATAAAGAATTGAAAAGGCGGGTTTTAGCAATATTGCAGCAAGAGAATCATGACAGAGACAACAACCGGGCAACGACTACTGATGGAGATGATAGCAAGACAGCAAAGCAACAACGAGACTTTCTCAAAAAACACCATCAAAAGTGCAAAGTGTGGATTCACTGTCACTTGGTGCAAAGGTATCTGGCCCAACATCACAACAAATGGAGTTCCTCTCAAGGGCGGCCCTGTCGGGTCCAACCAGGAATCCCCGCTCCATCTGAGTGGACTCATCGACTGTGGGAGGTTCTGAGACAAATTCCAGTGGCTCAAGGAAAGCAAGCAGATGGCATCAACAAGGTTCTCTCGTGGCCACCCACTCTCAAACAACGCAAAGGCGTTCAATCAGCTCATTACTTGACCGTTCGACGACAACATCCACCCCACCAAGACGAATTATGGCAACTCTGTGAAAGCATCTTGAAGGCAACTTTGTGTGACACCAATGGCTGTTTGCCGGCCTACAATGCCTTGGCCATTACCAGAAACTTTTATGGGTCGCCACATATCGATGCGCACGATCAAACCTTCCAACATGTCATTGCCGTGGGTGACTTTACCGGCGGACGATTGTGCTGCGAACTCAACGAGGATGAGGAGTTGCAAATTGACATCCACAATCGAGTAGGACGCATGGATGGACGTAAAGTTCATTGGGTCAGTGCCTGGCAAGGCAAGGAGCGGTATAGTGTCGTGTACTACAGTACACGCAAAGAGGATTGGACCGATCCCAGCATCTCTCAAAGTGTGCATTTGCAGTGGATGCAAGATTGGATCAGGGCATTGGAGCACCAAGAAAGGCAGTAACCTGAACAAGACGAGTTTGTAGCAGCCGACAAGGTGGCACACCCGACCCTTTTGCAATAATAATATAGCAAAGCTGGTGTTGTTCCGAGAAGGACGAGTGACAAATCGCCCGCCAACGCCAAATCCTACGGCGCACCTCACAACGGCGCACCACAACCTGAGCCGAACGGACGACTGGTGCAACACCATTGTCGGGTCAGACCAACAGGTTCCAAGCAAGCAGCAAAGAACGACAATGCTCCATCGATGATGCCAAGCCCTACAGCAGTAAAAGGGAAACCGCTGGCCATACGGCTGTTTACCATCATGGTGGTCTTGGTGACGTTTCAAGGGGTGGAGGGAAAAGTGATCAAGACTGGGAGGCAAAAAAGCCATCGCATGGGGAACTTACGGAACAACATGAGGGGTATCATGAGTATGAGAAGCAAAAAGACAAAGTCCACGAAGAAGGGGGTTGGCGCTAGCCATGTTGATACTGCCGGTATCAGCACGCCAGAAATAGTAAAACAAAAGCAGAGAAGAAGGCTGCATCAAGGGGTGAGAAGACGGAAACTGCCACGAAAGCTCGGTGCACGTCGCGGCTTTCTTGATAACGTTTTTCCAATTGGTGGTGGCTATGCCAGAAGTAGTAGTAGCAGCAGCAGCAGCAGCAGTAGCAGCAGCAGTGATTCCAGTAGCGAAGACGGTGGATTCTCAAGAGGTGTCCTTCCGTGCCTCTTCATCGATGTCGATGACGACGATGTTTTTATTGACGACGATTTCTTCTACGAGGAGTACTTCGATGCCAGATCAGGCAGAAGGTCGGGCGGGAGTAAAGGGAAGGGAATGGGCAAAGGGGGAAGAAGCGAAAGCCGAAGCGGAAGCTCCCGCAGCCGACGGAGACGGTACAGCTGTTATCGTCTTGGGAAGACTTTCAATGGGGTCTTTCCACCGTTTGCTTCTCCTCCGTTTCCAGCGCAACCTCGGGGTACCCCCAGACCAACGCCCGGGGGTCCCACTGGAAGTCCATCCAAAGCACCGACAAGGGTGCCCTCAACCCCCATACCAACGAGCATGGTGACTGGAACCCCTACAAGTACCCCCTCTGTTAGAGGCACAGGAGCGACAGCCCGCCCGACTGCAATGGCCGGAACAACCACTGCCCCAACCATGGGCAGCACGACGGGCACTCCTAGGCCCACGACAATGACAACCACTCCTCGTCCAACCCCAATGACAGGAACAACAACCGCTCCAACTCGTGGAAGCACCAATGCAACGCCTCGTCCTACCAATGCCATGGCCACGACTGCTCCAACTCGCGGAAGCACTAATGCAACGCCTCGTCCTACCAATGCCATGGCCACGACTGCTCCAACTCGCGGAAGCACTAATGCAACGCCTCGTCCTACCAATGCCATGGCCACGACTGCTCCAACTCGCGGAAGCACTAATGCAACGCCTCGTCCTACCAATGCCATGGCCACAACTAGTCCAGCAACAAGTCCAGCAACAAGTGCACCAACAAGAGCAGGCAACGCAAATACACCTCGTCCCACGAATGCCATGGCTACGACACCTTCAACGACAGCCCCAACTGCTGAAGGAGGACCAGCAACAACTGCGCCAACCAGGACGGGAGCTATGACACCTTCAACAACTGCGCCAACCAGGACGGGAGCTATGACACCTTCAACGACAGCCCCAACCAGGACTGGAGCTATGACACCTTCAACGACAGCCCCAACCAGGACTGGAGCTATGACAACAACCACTGCGCCAACAAGGACTGGAGCTATGACACCATCCACTGCAGCTCCAACCACCACCGGGGCAGGAATGGGGCGGACTGGAACTCTCCTCACTCCGACACCAACCGAATATCTCGAAGATGTCATCAATGGCGACCCCCCTGCTTTTGTACCAACGGAGATTTTTACAACAAAAACCACGTCTTCTGAGCCAGCCCTGGTCGCGGTCAAGATTTCTCAGACGTTAAATATCATCCTACCAGAAACTGCCCAGGAGAGGACTGAAGACGACGATGCCAAAATTATGCAACAGATGAGTCAGTTCTACACTGAGCTACTCACAGACGCATTTGGGTCAGAAGTTTTTAAGAGTTACACAGTCACGGATATTGCAAAGGACAGCGACTTGGAGGGAGCGTTTACTCTTCAAACACTGAGCTTTTCAGCTTACACTATATTTGAGGGAGATGGTGATTCTGTGCCTACTCAGGAAGAGATTGATGCTGTAGTCCAAGGAGCGGATATGAACAGTTTCATACAAAGCATCAATCCCGATGCTCGAGTTCTTCCTGATTGGTGGTAAGGGAACTTCGTGCACGAAGAAGGCATCTGGATGGGAGTATCCTTGGAGACGGCAGAACAACGCTGCAAGAAGCGCACACAACGGGGGCAAACACAGCCTTGACTTTATTCTTCCTAAAAGTACTTTGCAACTGTGTTGGGGAAAGTGTTCTATTTCGCCTCTCGGGAATCAGCAGGCATATCCAAAACTAGTGCAGTGTCGAAAGCGCAGGGTTGATTTATGAAGGTGGCATCCTAGATAACAGTCATACTTGCTAGTAATGGAGATGATGACCAAGGCGAGATGAGTTTCGATTTTATAAGATCGTCCCACGAAATTCGGCCGTAATGTCTTTAATCATGTCCGCAAAGTCCGATCTTACCATGCCACTACCAGTAATGCATGGCAGAATTATTCAAGCAATTTTGCCAATGGTCCTTTGCCACATGCACTGTTTCCAGCAACAGGTTTGTCATTGAGGAACTTGAAATTGTTGTGCGTATCGGAGGGGTGTGGCAGGCTACTTCATTGGGTTCTCCAAGTCACGATTCGAGGGCGCCATGTCTGCTTCAAAGAACACGGTACTTCCTCGTGGAGTCCTTTCATTGTTGTCGTCATCGCCGGGCAAGTCATCTTCGCCCACATCATCCAGATCATCGTCCAAATCGGTACCTCGCAATCGCACATTGCCACGACGATACGTGTCGTTACTGGCCACGTTCGGGCTGGTCGCAGCAAGTCGTTCTTCTTGTGGTGGTGGCGTCTGCGAGCTAGAGAGGTCAAAGACTGGATGCGTTGGCAGCGGCGGCATGACGGCTTGCATGGTGGGTGTGGGCTGTACTTCATCCAATTCAATATCATCGACTGCATCATTTTGCCAGCTCCCCGCCGCCATTCGTTTGCCTTCCAAGGCACGCGATTTCTGCATTACTTCCTGTTGTCGCTTTTGATACTCTCGCTCCTTGACTTGCAAAGCAGAGTGCACTCCCTTTCGTAAATCATGCAAAAACCCTGAATCCAACGATTCAATCAGATGACAAGGCATGAGAAGCAATGTGTGCAGAGCTGAACTGTAGGAGAGGCACTGAAGCTACAGAACTTACATATGAACGTCTCCATAATAAACACTGTATTGATCCAAGTGCAAAAGTAGGCATTCCCAACCAAACTAGCAGCCCCTCCAGGACTGGTTGATATGATGACAGTTGGAATCCTTGATGACAGTCAGATAGAAAGAAGACCAAAGACCAAGGTGAGCTGAGTTTTGATTATAGATGATCGTCCAACAAAAATGGCACAACGTCAATGTCTGTTCTTACCATGCCAATACCAGTAACACAAGACAGAATCCTTCGAGTATATTCTCCAATGGTCCCTTACCACCTGTACTGTTTCCCTTGTCGGGCAAGGGGTTTTGTCGTTGAGGAACAAATTGTCGTGAAGATCGAATGGGCGAATCTCGGGAGGGAGAAAAGTTTCTGGTTCCCACGGCGGCATTGACGCGGTGATGGGCTGCCGCCGCCACGGAGAATCGTTTGTCGGGAGTGGCTTTGGTACTTCCACCATGCAGGCTCGAGGAAGTAGCGTCTGTGGATGTCTCCCGAAACAGTTCGACTATCACAAAGACGAGGGATGGTACTAGTGTGGCGGAGCCCACAAACAAGAGCCACTCCCACTGTCCATCGCCGATTTCCAGGTAATGCTGCTGTAGGAGCGGAGCGTCCCTGGTTGCGGATTCGTGATTGGAATACAAGTCCATGTACCACATGAGACAGAGAAAGCTAAAGATACCAACTGCGATCCACCCAGGAGCTCGAAAGGGCCAACTGGAGATGAATTGCTTGAAAGAAGCCCATCCATATGCCACTAGCCACCGCTCTAGAGTCCAATAACTGGTCCAACAACAGCACCAAGTGCTGTAATATAGATTGTATTGTCCCTTTCCATCTCCAGCAATCCCTCTGACAGTTGTGGCAATGGACGTGGCAATGGTCCACCAAATAACCAAAAAAATAATCATGAGCAACTCAATGACAGAACCATCTCCAAATGTTTTTTCCCAAACACTCTTGAGTGGCGACCATCGATCCAAGTGCGCCACGAAAATAACACTTGTCATCAAGACACTGGTAATGGCGACGGCTTCCGCATATGCCCTTTGTCCATCCGAAGCCGCCACGGCATGATTGTTGACTACTTTTTGACTGTTTCGTGCCGCCGTGTAGTTGATGATTCCGGCGAGAATGAGAGTAATGTAGCCCTTGAGGCGGTTGGATTTGTACAGTTTCACGGGTGAAGCTTCGTCGTCGCCGTCGGAAGGAGACGAGTCGTCGGCTGAATTGTCCACTGCGGCCTCGGGAGCGCCACCAGTCGCAGCAGGAGCCCCTTCTTGTTTGGCAGTCACCATGGTGGCAGGAGAGGACGTGGTAGTGGCGTTGTCGTTGGGCATTTTGATTCAAAGAAGAACAGAGAACGATAACAATCAAATACAACTCAATAGTACCGGTAGCTACTTTGGTCGTCCTGAACAACTAGACCAACTGTGGTCAGCCTGACAATGGTCTGAGGTCTGAGGAGGGCCCAGGATCATGAGAAGAAGGCTCAGCAACAGCGGCGGCAATCAAATAAGTTGTCATCGTGTCATCGTCTCTCTTCTCTCCAGCTTAGCTAGCTAGAAGGCATCGAAGTCGACTAGTCCCGGATCGAACGGGCTACGTGACTCGACTCAATCGAACACAGCGCTGCTTTCTGCCCTCACTTTTCGCTTTGTTTTCCTCTTTCGAATTGACCTTTGAGCACCGGAGAGCTTGTTCGTAGGTACAATAGAAAGCACCATTGAAGAACCGCCGCAGTGCCCAAGAAAAAGGATGGCAAAAGAAGCAGGAGCCACCATCGATGCCTCCTCAATGCCTGTTCGGATGTTCAAGACGTTTTTCGCAGCGACATGAGTGCGTGGGGGTACATCAAAAATTGTGGCTACTAGTACTTGTATGTCATAACGACTCGCAATAGTTTGATTGATCAACAAGTTGTGGATCAGACGTAGTGTGTACATGATTACCTTTCTTGTATTAAAGTCCGATATCTCTACATTAGCTTTTTCTTTGGTTCCTTCTTACACTCTCAAGATGAGCCACTGGGAGAAGCCCCAGTCAGCAACGATGATCAACAAACTGGAAATCACGACGGAAGAGGTGATGACCCCCGGGACGCCCCGTGGCGTCAAATTGGGTTGCAGTCGAGCAATGGTTTCTGCAACACCCATTAGTATGCACATGAAGGTCACCGATTTCCAGATATGAAACACAGGTGGATAAGTTGTCAATTCGATCAATGCTGACAACCAAATGGATTCTCGGCTCGCCGTGTACATCGTCAAAATAAAGGTCGGAAAGCCCAGCACTGTCCATTCGTAATTCAATTTTAGTTCCAAATCCAATTTCGGAAAGACGGAATTCCACACTTCCTCATTGTACCCTTCCAGTGTTCCAATCCCATACTGAGGTCCAATGATTCCACCCAAAAACACGGAAATCCATGTACCAATGACGGTCAAAATGGGTGCTGCCATTAGAGCTGCCATCATGGCTGGCAAGAAAGTCCATGTCTGTGGATTGATTCCCAAGGTCCGCAACAGTTTTGTTTGAGATGTTGCCTGCATGGTGGCAATCTTGCCGGCATAACTCCCTCCAATGCGCCCACACAAGAGCAACGCCGTCAAGAGTGGTCCAATCTCCAAAACAAACAATTTGGCCATGCCAATGGCATACAAAGTTGCCTTGGCAGCTGGAATTGTAGTGTTGAGCATTCCCCGCACTTTCATTTTGGCCACCATCATGTACATGGGATTGGCTTCTTCCTCCCCGGTGACCATGGCAATCATGGGACGAAGTTCCTTGTCGACAATTTCCAAGACACGATCGGTGACATCAATGCGTTGCAGAATGTCGGCACTGAGCATGGAAATTGCCAATCCACATGCCACAAACGTCAAAGCAATCAGCGGCAGAGAGTAAAAGACATAATCTATCAATTTTTCCAAAAATCGATCCCAAAAGGATATTCCAAACAGCAGGTTTCGGCTGGACGACGACGATGTGGGTGCCGTCGGTGGTGTCGTGGGTGGTGTCAGCTTGACTGTGGCCGTAAGTTGTTGTTGTTTGCTGTCTTTGTCTTCGTTCAATACTAGTTGAGCCAGCTCTGGTTCATGACTGATCAAAATCAATGCCGATCCAATATTTCGTCGCACTTGCACCAATTCCTTGGCGACCGATTTGGCCGTTTCCAGATCCAATCCACTGAATGGTTCATCCAACACAATCACTCGTTTTCGTTGTGCCAATTGCAGTGCCAAAGAAGCGCGACGCGCCATGCCGCCCGACAATTCGGTGGGTCGTTTGGCAGCATCCCGGGCATAATCCAAGCCGACGGCTTCCATGATTTGTTTGATTTTGCGGATTCGATCTGCCGGGGTCGTGTACCTATTGGCCGTCGATGGACAGGATTGCAAGGCGACACTGACATTGCCGGCCACCGTGAGGGCATCCAAGAGTGTGGTTTGTTGAAACAAGACACCACAGCGTTCGATGGGTGGAATTTTTGGGTTCCAGTCGCATTGTGGACAGTCGATATCCAATTTTTCCAAATCTTGCGGGGAGGAAAGTCCTGCCAGACAGGTAGATAAAGTTGTCTTGCCAAGACCAGAGTTCCCTGACAACCAAATACATCCACCCGCGTACAATTCCAACTTGACGAGGGGATTTCCAAAGGGACACTTGGGACCCTTGGGTTTGGCTTGAAAGGAAACCAGTGGGCTGGTCAATCCATTATTACTATTATTCGTGGTGGTATCCGAATCCATTGTATCACTGCTGCTATAAGCAAAACGCAACGAAGACAGGGGCTTGGTCACGGTTTCCTCCAGTTTATCACTGGCGTTTCTGTTTTGGGATTTTGCCATGGTGGGAGCCAAAATGATATAATTCAAAAGGGTAGCAAGCTCCAAGTATGCTGTCGAAATCTGAAAAATAAACACCAAATGGGGCTCCAACCTGACTAGCTAAACAAAACATGCACTGTATGCAACCCAGACTTCACAAAGGCAATGCGTCCAAGCAGGGTTTGGTATTTTAAAAATTAATGGTTTCGATTCAGTGACCAGTGTCTGTGTTGGTTGCTTCGAAGGTCTACTTGGCCAACGGTTCCGTGTTGCCAGATCCCTGCTTCGTCTGTTGCTTCGCATGAAAACTTACTTTTTCTCCCTCCACGTGGCGATTTCAGAAAGATATAACCCAGTTGAGCTGCTTTATCGATAAAACCACAACGTTTGACATTTTTCAAGCCTCCCCCTTTTGTCGAGATCGAGATCCACCAAACGGACGGAAGCCTCTGAAGATAGCGGAACACTGAGTTGACAAGGTATTCATGCTGTCCATGTGCCTTTGGAGAGCGATGGTAAGGGGGTTTTAGAGTAGGGAAGTTATCTACGGAAGTAAGAGTGATGCGATGTTCAGTCGAGAGTTGGCTGAATGCAACGCACACTCTGAATCTTCAAAGTCTTTTGGACAGTTGGACAAAGAACATCCTAATAGATCAGATCAGATCAGATCAGATCAACTACTAGCTAGCTACTAGCTACCGGTAGCTACGAAGTAGTGACTAGTCAAACTAAAGAAAGGAAGAACCCAAACTACGAAGCTTATGCTTTGTCTTGCTGGGCCTCTTCGCCATTGGAAACGAAACGAAACGAAACAATCAAACCAGGAAGCTCTGACCATTCGCAATAAAAATTTGGTACATGTAGACTAGACTACTGGTACTAGACTACTCTTACTCTGGATTCGATTCTGGATTCTACTTCATTCGTTTGAGTGTCTTGCCCGTGCACAGCCGACTTGGGTTAAAAGCATTGCTTTTTTGACAAAGGTCTCTTTAGAGGAGAAGTGCAGACTAATCGAATCGAACGAATCATTCGATTCGAATCGAATCAATCCTTTATGATCCATACCCGTACGGTACGGGTACCGTACCGTGCCGGTACGCACATGTACATGTACATCGTATTTGCACAACTAACTGTCAGCCGACTCGTGACTCGGTCCTATCTCGACCGGAGCACGTAAAGGGTAACGGTCGTACCGTGCTAGTACTAGCTTCTAGTAGGGAAAACACACTTTGATACCATATGCGTACGGTAGACTCCACAGCGCATCAATCTTTCTTGGAAATGTCAGATGATGATACTACCTAGTAGATGTCAAATCCTTTCCTGCGATTCGATTTGATTCGATTGATCATTCTTAGTTTTTCACTTCCGCTGAAGTCCCGCACAAATTGAAAAGAAATAAGGGTAACAGCTCCTAACAGTGTGGGGGGTGGCAGCCTGGCAGGCCTTCATGTTCATATGTCGTGTAGTTTCACATCCGCACAAATTGAAAGGAAAAGCTACAGAAGCAACAAATAAACGAATCCAGGCACAATGTTGAATTTATCTTTCGTCGAAAGCCAAGCTATGGGTCCCCTCACCCTTCTTTTAATTCTTGTCAATGGAAGCCCTTGGCCTGGCTACTAGCGGTACCCCGGCAAGTACCTTGGCCTACCGGTACCGTGCCGGTACTATTACTGCTTACCAGAGATTAGCATCAACACAATTCCGCACCCTCTTGGACCACCAAGCTGAAACTCGCGAGAGCTTTCTTGGTTGCTGGGACGGTTGCGTGGTGACCTGGTGGATTCTGGGTGATCCAGAGAGATCCGGACTTTTTTGAAAATCCGGACCTTTTCGTCAGAGTAGCAAGGCATTGGATAAAACTGGTGCCATGGGAAGTTGTCAACGGAAGTAACAGTGATGCGATGTAGCTTGCGATGTTCAGTCGAGAGTTGGATCTCTGAATCTTCATGTCTTTGGCGCAGTTGTTCGACAAAGAACATCTGATCTGATCTGATCTACTACCAGGTATCATACTCTGGCTAGCTACCAAGTAGAGCTCCAAGTAGTAACTAGTCCAACCGAACCAGTCGGTACCGCCGACCGCCGACTCGTGCCTTTGTGCTAGGTTGATTAGAGCTAGCACGTATGCATAACGCTACATCGCGAAAAACAGATTTTTCTTGGAACAGTGGCACATGGCGTACTATTTTAAAATAGTAGACCACTAGTACAGTATGGGTGGTGCATAATACCGGTAGTTTTTCACTTCTGCTGAAGTCCCGCACAAATTGAAAAGAAATTGTAACCAGAATGTTGAATTTCACTTCCGCTATGTATGTCATAGTCTAGCTACTAGCTAGTAGTAGTACTCTGAGAGGTCTCACTGTCTCACTGTCTCACTGGCTGAGCTCCTGAGTACTAGTACAGTAACAGCTCTGGTACCAGTGTTGCATTGGTTGGCAGGACGACTCCGCACAAATTGAAAAGAAGAGTTAAAGAACTTGCTACTGGGTACTCAGCACCATGACAGCTCCATGACACTACCGATACGATACGAATAAAAACAAATAATGTACCTAGTACCTAGACTATACACATCGACCAAAACACTCTTTACAAAGCCACAGTACCAGTATCCACCAAAGGACTTCGGTGTTTCGGGGTTTTGCAGAGGGCCTCTCATCACTTCTTTATTATGGGTAGCCTTATAATAGAACTTTAGGAACAACAGTGCCGGTAGCCGGTTGGCTACTCGGTGCATGTCGTCATGTTCTGGCAACTGGGAAGACCACCTGTCTTCTTCCCTTTGGAAGTTTTTTAAAACACTGAGTCTCCTTCTCTTTGGATTTTCCTTGTATTATGAGCTATTATAATTATGATACATGAAGCCAGGACTATCACATGCCACATGCTACCGGTAGCTACGACAGGTATTAAAATAATCTCCTTCTTTCGGCTGAATAGTGCAACTCGATCGGTCTTTCGGGATTTTCCAATGGGCCTTGCCTCTTATCTCAGTTCTTTATGGGCGACTGAGCTACTGTAGTGGGGACCACCATTGGTCCAGTGGTGTCTTCTTCCGCCCTTTTGGAATCGATCGAATCGAATCATCGCTGTGCGCTGAGTGCCAGTAAGTATGTCTACTGTACTAGGATTTTTCTTGACATCCAAACTCCCAATGCGAACCACGCATAACGAGCCCGAGGCCTTGTTCTGTGGATGTCATTGCTGGGTTCTGGGTGCAAGAAATCATTAACTAATTCATTGCGGAAGCCTGCATACTGCATACTATTATACTACAATGTTGTATCTGACGAACGTGGCCGCTGGTACAGTGCATGGTACTGTAAAAGAAGAAATGCGATTCGATTCGATTCATTTTTGTACGGACAGCTAGTAGCAGCTGGACAGCTACAGACCTTACATTTTTCCCTGGATAGTCACCTAAAAAGAACAAGATGTCACGTGAAAGCTGACGAAGCCTGAATCCAGCCCAGCCCATGTCGCAAGTTAAAGTGGTGGTCAGTGAGCTTGTTTGGAAAACGGAGGCCTCTTCCTTGGACTAGTACGGTAGATCTAGTACTAGTACAGTACCTCATCATCAGTACAGACCGTACTTTTGCACTTTTTCCGTTAGAGTTCTTTCATGAACATAAAAATTGCCCCATGAAATCAAACACTGAACCCTTGTCAGAAGATGCCGCTCAAATCGAGGACTACAAACCCCCCTCCACCATGACAAAGACAGCTCTTTCTTCCATAATCTACCCTGGACAAAATGGTAAGTTGTTTTCAAAGAGCTATCTTTGTTTGTATCATCACTTCTGTATTCCACCAATCCTGTTCCTTACCTCAATTCCTTTAATTGACCTCTCAACCGCCCTTCCTCGCATTCAGATGGTGGGTTATACTGTGTTTCCAAGTGTTGCAGAATGAGCGTACTTGTCTGACCCCATTTCTCGTCATGCCGTATAACTTGGTTGGATGCACTAAAGTGATGCTCGGCAGGGGTGGCGAATCCAACTATCATGGGTAAGAACATCAAGTAACCATTCTGCACCACTCTCCTCTTCGACCGCCGAGGTTCTGACACTACTGTCATGTTCCCCTCCTGTAACACAGTGGAAATCTGCACTTTCGCAAGTTTGCCGAGATCTACCGGGCTCGATACAAATTTGCCTCCAAGGTAGAGAAGCCATTGATATCCGCCGAAGTTGTCGCCGCTTGGAGGAACCTCCAACCTCCAGGTAGATTTCTCATCAGAACTGAACCATCTAGCACGAACAGTCTTTGGCATGATGTGGGGGATGCTCAGGCCATCAAACGAGCCACCAAGACTCTGGGCGAGCGCCCTCAACGGGAACGCAGAGCAGAGAAGGCCTCCAGGCTAAGGCAGCTCATGGGCAGCCATCCAGAAGAACGGGGATGCTCCTCAGCGCCAACCAGTCCACAGTCCCGGTGTTTGAGCTCATCTAAAAGGGTAACAAGAGCCATTGGATACAGCGCTTCGGACACCGAAGAAAAGTGTTCTGAAAAACCAGTCGCGAAGGTTCGGGGGAGTTGGCTTATGGAGATGGAGACTGTTGGAAGCAGGGAAACTGCTTCAGAGAGCTCCGATCATACTTGTGCATTCGGCTCACACCGACAGAAGATGACAGAGAAGGCATTGCTGGTTGCGAGATTTGGGGCAACCAATCATGACACCGTTATGCCTACGGTCCCATTCGGCTCTAGTACTTTCAGCCAGCCAAGCGCTTCACAACAAAGCGCCGATGCGACGATGATGGATGAAATGGCGTCGCTACCACTTGCGCAATCGCCGTTGCCAGGCGTGGTGAATCAGTTCGTTCGAGCGCAAAGCATTCGCGACATTATGGACACAACAAGGGAGGAGCCGAGGAGCGATACTGAGATGCATCAGGGGAGCTCCATGGTAAGCATGGATGTCAGTCGCCCTTTCATTCAAGGCAACTCCATCTCGAATGAGAATGAAGTTTCACCGCACCAAAGAAGCCTCGTGCGGGTTGGGCCTGTCGTGCAAGCTCATGTGAACGAAAGCTCCCCCCTTCGGGCCAGTGGCTCGTTTGTCGATTCGGCAGCCAACCGTACGGTGACACGGACAAGCAGTGAGCCATGGAGTTTGCACTCCACCTGGATCAATTCTCTCGAAGCTTATTTACCCCCTTGTCGGCAGTGTAAAGGGGTTTGTCAGCACGTGTGTGCATCTCTGCCTACAGCAGCATTCCTGGCACAGTGGGCTTTTGATGAAGATGTTGAGGATCCAGACGCGACGACGTGCAACCAGAAGCGATGACATTCAACCACAACACTTTCTAGTGACCCTGCAATGGAATCTGCCACAACCGAGTACTGAGCGAGCAGCACGATTTGAAAACAAGCCAGTTGCAGGGAACTCTTCGCTTTAGGCTGATTCACACTATTTAACCCCTTGACATCACCTCTGTGCGTCTCTGCCTACATCAGCACTCCTGGCAAAGTGGCTTTTGATGAAGATGTTGAGGATCAAGACGCGACAACATGCAACCAGACGCGATGACATTCAACCACAACTCTTCATAGTGGGCGTGCAATTGAAGCTACAACCACAACCGAGTACTGCGCGAGGACCACGATTTGAACACAAGGCAGTTGCAGGGAACTCTTCGTTTCAGTATGATTCACTTTTGGCAAACCAAAGTAATAAGGACGATTTGGTATCATATGTCAGCACTGTAGTACACCGTGGGATTCTCGCTATCAAGTGCACAACGTTTCTGATGATGGTTTTCGTAACGCACGATATAGAGTTGAAACTTACAATGTACCACTTGAGGAAACATGCCCAGCGTGATAATGTGCCACAGTTTGCTCGAGTACCGATTTGTATGATGCTATTGCTTGCACATTCTTTTGGGCACTCTGGTGCTTGCTTGCTTTCTGCCTCTTTGTCGTTCACTCATGAAGGCACGTCACTTGGTGGGCGGCCGTCTTCCGTTCTAGCAACAGGGCGGATTGTTCCACTGACAGCGTTGGTTTGTGTCATCTTTCGGAAATCAATCTCATAGGCAAAGCCACTGGACTCGCTTACCAATACGTGTTTGCTTTGTTCACGAAAGGACAACCACTTGGATTTTTTCTCCACCACGTGTGTTTGATACAAGCACTCTGTTTCTTCCATGACTTGGGCGTCAAATTTATACCATCCGTCCGGCCACCCTCTTCGGTCATCCCGAAGGTAATAGTACCAGTTCACAGTTTGAGACGAAGAACCCTCGCTCTTGGCAACATTTCCATCATGCCATTTGTCTCGAATGCGCATTGCAAGCTTAAACTCATCCATTGCCTTTGCCAGTCTCGTCTTCCTGACTGCTGCCTCGGAGAAAGCCAGGATTGATGCTTCACGAGGGTTTTCGGAAGCAAGTTGGCTCTTGGCATAAATACCAGAAGCTCTCTTGTAGTATGATTTGGCCTTTTCTCTGTTACCAGCAGCATAGTAACAGACGCCGCTCGAGATCAAAGCGTTGAAGTATGTCGTGTCGTTGACGGTTTGTTCAAGTTCCGCATCCTTGCGCATTTGGATGAGTTCTTGAAACTTGTTCAGCGCAGAAGACGTCTCTCCTAGCTGAAACTGAAGAATGGCTTCTTTCTCCAAAATATGCACACGGAACGGAGATGATTGAACTGGAGGTATTTGCTGAAAATACGAAAGAGCCCGCCTCTCTTCAAAACCCTCGCTGCCACAACAAAACAGGTCCCCTAGGGCAACCAAAGCATCTGTCACCAGTTCGTGATTATCCCCGAGGATTTCACGACGAGTAGCCAGGCATTGTTCATAGCAATCGAGGGATCGTTCCTTCTGTTCTTGCTGTCCAAAACAGTCCCCCATGGCAGCCAAAGTATCCGAAACTAACAGTTCGTTCCCATCATCTCTCCCCCCGCCGTCCATCCCATACGCAAGACACTCTTCATAGAAGGAGATTGCAGTGTCATATTCCCCCAGGAGCAGTAAATAACTCCAATGTCTCTCATTGTCTCGGATACGTTACCAAAGGATTTGCATCCCTGAAAGATGCGATGCGCCTCTTGAAGTAATTCCATCGCCTGGCTCTTGTTTCCACAAGAAAGCTGTACATTCCCCATCAAGTAAATTGCATTACCAACATCTATTGGCTCCAAGCCAGCAGTGTTGGAGTCTGAAGAAAGCGTTTCCTGCAGACCATCCAAGGACTTGCCATCATACTGGACTCGTCCTTCATCATCACTCATGGACAGAATAATCCCCCAGGCCTTTTCAAAGTTGCTAAATGCACGCGTGAAATCGCCGAGATCATTTTGGACTTTGCCCAGCAGCAACAAGCTATAGGCGTCGTTTTCATTGTCTTGCCGAGCAGCTTCTACATTGCGACCCTTGCGGAGTTCTAAAATGTCTGAAAATGCAGCCTGCGCTGTTCGAGTATCCTTCAAGCCCAACGACAGGGAGAAGAGTCTCTTGTCTCTTGTAGAGAGCAATAAGCGACTTGCAGTCAGTGCCAGCATTCTCTTGCTTGATTTTCTGGATTCGACCTTGGAGATCTTCCATTTCGGATTTCTGCTGATGTGTGTGTTCTGCTTCTCTCGGATTCCATTTGACTGCTTGGTCTCGCAGCACTGTTTTTGCCGATGGACGTGGTCGTTTCAATTGACTTTGATGGAGTCGTTGAAGAAAGAAACGAATGTGTAGGTCATCCATTTGTTTGGTCAGCTTTTCTCGCTTCTTCTTTTCAATCCGTTGATTGTTGTAGCCCGTGGAATTTGATTGGTCCAATGGCTCGGTGGTTGCAGTCAGAATGGTAGATCCACTCAATCGTCTACCCTGTGGTGGTAGACTGAACCCAGTTGGAATATGGTAAGGGAATAAGGAGGGAAACATGCCAGGATCTTGATCTTCTAGACCAGCAATCCATGATGGTTGATCCCGAAAGATTGAATGGAGCACGTCTTCGGCTTCTCCCAGCAGCCGCTCGCCCGAGGCAGTCGCATTAGTTCCATCATCTCCGACTTGAGAGTCATCGGATATCTCCTCTTCATCTTCAGCGCTGTCCCCTGCCGTTGGCATGATGCTCAGTACTGCATTAATAGGAGCGGGAAGCTCCTATGTATGATAGCTAGATAGCTACAGTGATAGTGTTGGCGTCGATAACAACCTACCCATACGATGCTTTCCCACCCCCTTGCCGGAGGAAGCACGTCTTCAGGAGCAACGCCATCTTGCGATCTTTCGATCCTGGCTCAGGGCTCGAAACATTCTTACAACAAAGGTTATCCCTAAACTAGTTATGGATTCAATTTGGTTTTAAGAAACTACGGGGTCGATGCCAACAAAAGTTCCCCTCCAACTTGTATTTCCTCCCTTCCACGACAATCGGTCAAGGACCAACTGAGGCTTGGCACCGAAGCCAGAGTTCCCGCATTTCAAGTTTAGCATCACAGCTATCAAAGATAAGCTAGCTAGCCAGACCCAGCCAGCAAGTAGCGATTAATTTGTGCTGGGAAAACCGTCAGATTGCAGGTAACACTGGTAGCTAGTGCTATCCTTTGAATCGCGCGCAAATCAAGGCAGCTCCTCCGACATTGTAGAATTGTCCACATCCAGGTCCAAGGTCCGGTTCTTGTCCACATAGTCATCTCTTCCAAACGTGAATTCTGTGCGCTGATAGCTATTCTGCCAGATTGGATCCAGATCTGGAACATAAATTCCTGTGTTGCATTCTGTTGTCCCCTCACAACACAGAGCACAACACCCAGGAGTTATGTTACAGATGTCACAAGATGCAATGAGAACCGGGGGGCGAGGCGCAAAGTTTGGATTGTCACAAAACAGATCTCCCAGATTTCCCTCAATGCTGTCATTGGCATCCAAAAACATCAGTTCTGGTTGGGGTGGGGGATTAGGAAGCACCAAACTATTAAAGACACTCGATTAACATGCATTTGCTCTGTGACTTACTCAGACTCATCAAATTGGCAAACGTGTCAGGGATCACACTGGTTAGATTGTTCCTGTTCAATAGTAGAATGCGCAGCACCCACAAGTCTCCCAGTGAAGCAGGAATGGTTCCCACAAGGTTGTTGTTGTCTAAATCCAACAGAATAAGACTGGTCAAGTCTCCCAAAAAGCTGGGGATGGGGCCAGTTCGTTGGGTGCTCTTCAGAGACAGCTCCTGCAGTTTTGTCAAGCCTTCAATCCATGATGGAATACTGTTGACTTCAAAGTCATTCTGAGCCAAGAAGAGGTAAGTCAAGTTGCTCATGGATCCTATGGTTGCAGGGATCTCACCAGTAAATTCGTTTTGAGAGAGATCCAGGTGTTTCAATCCTTTGAGCTCGTTGATGGATGTGGGAACGGGAAAGCCCTTGAGCTGGTTCTTCTGCAAGGCCAACAACTGCATAATGTTGTTTTCATTGAAAAAAGTTGGCATAGCCGTAAATTCATTGTCGTGCAAATCCAAAACTTTCACAGCAGGCATAGTGAACAGGTGCGGGGGGATACTTCCATCAATGTAATTGTCAGAGATATCAAGATACTTTAGGTTGGTCATTTCCTTCAAAAATTGATCTCCCAGAGCCCCTGTGAATTGGTTGTTCTCCAAGTATAGCTGCTCTAAGCTGGGCATGTCTGAAGATTCAATGACATCCAAATCAGATGTGAAAAGATTGTAATCCAAGGCCAACCCTTCCAGGTTTTCCAGGGTACCCAAGGAGAGTGGCAATCCACCTGTCATATGGTTAAAGGACAAATTGATGTTTTTCAAGTTTGTGATATTGCCGATCCAGGCTGGGATGGGTCCCTGGAGACGATTGTCTGCCACAAACAAGTTTGTCAGGTTTGTCATTTGCTGGAACGTATCAGGGATGGAATCTCCAATGTCATTGTGATCAAAGTCAACATCCGTTAGAGTGGTAACAAAGCCTAATTCTGCTGGTAATGAGCCCTGCAATTCATTTCGATCTAGTCCAGGAGGGAGTCAGGGAATTTCAGTGAGCTGTCATCATGCAGGTGACCGTGGCAGTTTCACTTGAGCACACCTATCTATAGCAGATCAACTTACTTAGGAAAAGAGCCCGAGGCTGACCTGAGGTTTGATCACAAAAGACCCCCCTCAATTCTGTACTTCCATCCTGATACTGCAAAATATCATACCAGAAACAAATGGAGGTTGGTTCCAGGAAATTACAGTCAAATAGCCATGCCGTCGGTCCCAAAGTTGAGAAGAAGAGTACTGAAAAAGCATATCGAGTGACAAATTCATAGCCTTCTATCGTGTCAATACCTCCCTGAGGAGGTTCCAATCGTAAAGTATCATTGGCCGCCAAAAAGGTCAGTGCCCTGTTTTGTGGCGAACCTGTCGTCTCCAGATCCACCAAAGTGGATACTCCTTGGTCAACCAGGTATTGTTGGATGACAGCAGAACGCTCAGCAGGTGGAATGGTTGGGGCAGGAGGACCCCATTTGCAGCCTCTTGTTACCGAGCAATGTACGGGATTGTCGAAATCCGCACAGTTGATGGTCCCGGAACAGGAAATGGCATAGTCACAGGAATTACCATCACACCCTTGAAAGTCTTGATTACACCAGCAGGGAGAGTCATAGCCATCAATATTATCCCTCTCACAAACACTCTCGCAGGTTTTTGTTTCAGCAGCACATTGTTCCGGATTGCCGTCCACTTCAGTGCATGTTTTCGTATTGTATACGCTCTCGCAGGTGGTTACCTCTCCGGTGCAAACATCCTCGCCTTCACAACAGCAGGAGTAAGAGTCAAACACAAGAGAAGAACGGCCAGGAATCTCATGGCTGCAGCGCTATTTTCCAGCAACAAAAACAACTACTCCAGTGGGGTAGAAGTAAGGTACATATGGGGACGAGCAGAGATTAAAGTCGAAAAGCAGGTGAATGCTCATATTTGCGCTCGTTCATCCCTGAAATTGTGGAGGCTTTGGCCAGTTTCAGACGTGGACGTCACTAACATGGCGTCAGTCACGAGCAACATTGATGCCAAAGATCCAGGGACGAAGATACGGTAAGCTTCTCTTTATTTGACACCAACCCAGCACATACCACAACATTGTCAAGGAGAGACACGGCAATAAGGATGAAGCCAAAAGGATCAATCTTCTGCCAGCTAGCTAGACAAAGTTGAGAGAGCTACTGTACTTACTTGTCCACAATGATGACAATGCATGCGCGGGTGGCAGCCAAAAGATCCTTACGATTGACTGCAACGACGCCAAGGACTCCTCTGTCAGTATGGCGATCTTTGTCAGCCAGTGCAAATAATCTTCCTCATGACGACGACGATAGCGACAAGAAACAGGTGAATGTCAAGAGTGTCAGCGCCGGGTTGCCGGATTTCATTGAGCATTGGGACCGAAAGGTATTTCGACAAGTCGGGTATGGCATGGTCGCCTTGACTGCCGTGTCCTTTCCAGTGCTACAAGAACTAGTCTTGACGAGCACCATGACCGTAGTGACAGGTGCTTATTGGTACATTGGGCTGCGAGACATTCGACAACCTCAACAGACCATTCGTCGGAACTTTCCCGTCGTTGGAAACATGCGCTACTTGCTCGAAATGATACGACCCGAGATACGACAGTATTTTGTCGAAGGAGACGATGAAGCCGTTCCATTTGATCGCAATCATCGAGGTGTCGCTTACCAACGCAGCAAGGGGATCACTGCCACCATGCCATTTGGAACGCGGCGAGATGCCAATGCCGTCGGATACGAATGGGCCAATCATACACTCTATCCCACCCAGTTGGATGTCGCCAAGCAACGTGTCTTGATTGGTGGAAACAACCCAGAATGGTGTACACAGCCCTACAGCTCTTCCTTGCTCAACATTAGTGCCATGTCCTATGGAGCCTTGTCGGATCGGGCCATTTTGGCATTGAGCGCGGGGGCCAAGTTGGGCAAGTTCAGTCACAACACTGGAGAAGGTGCCTTGTCTGATTTTCACAAACAAGGCGGGGGTGATTTGGTATGGAACATTGGAACCGCCTACTTTGGATGCGGCCGATTTGCGGAGGGATCGGTCCGTGTCTTTGATCCAGACTTGTTTGCCGAGAACGCCCAGTACGCCAAAATGATCGAAATCAAACTCTCGCAAGGTGCCAAGCCGGCCCATGGAGGAATGCTACCCAAGGAAAAGATTAGCCCGAGCATTGCCAAGGCACGCAACTTGCACTATCCTGTACAGGAAGATTGTCACAGTCCGGCTCGGCACAATGCCTTTTCCAATCCCACAGAACTCTGTCATTTCATACAACAACTGAGAACATTGTCCAATGGCAAACCGGTAGGCTTCAAACTATGTTTGGGACAACCAGAAGAGTTCTGCCAGTTAGTCCAAGCATTCTTGGACACTGGGATACATCCCGATTTCATTACTGTCGATGGAAGTGAAGGCGGGACCGGAGCTGCTCCACCCGAATTTTCCAACAGCGTAGGGACTCCTTTGGCAGACGGACTTTCCTTTGCTCATGCTGTTTTGGTGGGAGTTGGGTTACGAGATCCACACGACAAGTCCAAATCCAAAGTGGCATTGATTTGCAGTGGGAAAATCTTGACTGGCTTTTCCATGTACAAGAACTTTGCCATTGGAGCCGATGTCTGTAATGCTGCCAGGGCCTTTCTATTCTCTCTGGGATGCATTCAAGCATTGAAGTGCAATGATAACAAATGTCCAACTGGGATAACGACGCAGGATCCAGAGCTAAGTTGGGGATTGGTACGTGGTTGAATTGGATTGGCTGAGAGTAAGGCCGCCCGCTCATAGCACCTTGGAGTCTTCTCGTCTCCCTCACTTCATCTAATATTTCCCTCTTAGGATCCAACCTACAAGCAAGTTCGAGTTGCAAATTTCCAGAGAGCCACTGTACAGGCATGTGTCGAGTTGATGGAAGCAACTGGACTGGAATCCTGGTCAACGATTCGGCCTGGACATGTAACCCGTCGCGTCGACTTGGGTCGTTCCAAACCCTATGATGAGATCTTTGAACATTTGCAGGTCGGGCAAGGAGACTTGCTGCATCAAAAAGGACCAGACGCTTTGCAAACGGTATGGAACAAATCCTTAAATTAGCTAAGTACTACACGTGGACTTCACCTGCTTCAGCCGTCTTAATTTACGAGAATCCAACATGCAGACAGCTCACGCTGGCTTTACTGCGTTTCCTGTAGTACCAGGTATTACGGCTGTAGTAGTGTATTCATACAGTACAGCATGCCTTGTTCTTTCCCACCACCGCAATACGGTATGCCATACGGTGGTGCTGGTACCAGTAGATATTTGTCATAGTGTATTCTCTTCCCACCAACTCCAAGTCAACGCTCAGGGGGGGTTTAGAGTAGGGAGGCTATCTACGGAAGCCAGCGAGGGCCAGACTTCTAAAGGCACAGAAGAGTCGGAATTCAAGACTAGCTGCCTGGAGGTTCGGTCGGATCAGGGGAGATACATTGAGGACCAGGACATGGGCCAAAGAACTTGGCTTGGCGGGATCCACCGAGACATAAACTAGTTCTTTTTAACAAGGGCAATGGAGATGCGGGTCTGAATGAAAAACATCATTTGAGAGTATGAGTACTGAGTTTTGTTGGCATTGACAGTAGCAAGGCGTTGTAAAAATCTTGGCTTGGGGGAGCCAGCATGCCATCCGCAGAAACAAGGAAGGGATGGAAGGAGGCGGGATGGGATTGCGTTGGATATGCTACAAACCGGTAGCTTCCCATGAGTGAAGCAAGTTGAAGCCATCATAAGATTGTGGCCATACAGAAAACCGAACCAACCTAAAAGGCAAGGGATGCATTAGAAGCCTCCTGGGTTTCAAAGGTATTGCTCGTGCGGCGGTCTATTGGAGCCCGAGATGCTCAGAAATGCCAAGAAGAGGCACATATGATGGTGGTTCTTGCCTATCCCCTTCAACCTTGCTTCGTCCAAAAAATGTCATTGTCTACCTTGAACTTTTTATCCGGTGGTGGATCTTGCCTATCCCCTTCAACATTCATCCAAAATGTCTTTGTCTACCTGAGAACTTCTTTTCCGGTGGTGTCTCTTGCCTATCCCCTTCAGCCTTCACCCAAAAATAGATGTCTTTGAACTTTTTATCCGGCAATAGGAGTTGATCGAGGTACGTACCAGTACCACCAGGCAGCCAAAAAACTTGGACCGCATGAATGCCAAAGGCACGCCATCGCTCATGATGACACGCTGCGGGCACACGCACTGTCCCTTCATAGGAATATGTGAAGGAAGAGGCGACAGTTTTTCGCCCGTGAACCCGTGTTGTACCCTTCTATCTGAGAACAATTTCTTGGCAGTTCGTTGCTCACTTCCACAAAGGCAGCGTCTGTGGCGGAACGGTAGCTACTAGGTGCCCTCGAGCCACTGCCCACACCCGAAATGAGGAGGCATCCATGTGCTCATGAGGATTAGACGGCAACCATCATCGGTTTCTGAATGAAGACGAGACCAGCAAATGCAATGACTCGTCTATTCTCCAAGGCTATCGAGGTGGGAGGCAATGACTCTCCATAAGACCTCGCAACTTCACTGGTATGAGAGTGATATGATTGTCAACTGCTACCAGGTAGCTGTTTCCTCCACCAAACTCAACCATACCGGTAGCACGCGCTCAATCGCGGAAAGGCTGTTGCATCCTTCATGATGTTTCCAACCGCAAGCCAAGATGTACTGTATTCGTGGCTCCATGAGTGTGCTGGGCGGTTACTGGTGTCTGTGATGGGAGAAGAGAGGTGCATGTAATCCTTGCGAGGCGACACTGCCCCTTCTACAGTCCACAGTTTACTAGCTAGCTTTGAGTGGTGGGTTCGTGGGTTCCTTTACCTTACTACTTGGAGGCTTGGAGGGAGTGAGGGCAAACTGGTGAACCTGGTGGCTCCATTGTCCGCAGTGCTCCGTTTGGTCACTCGAAACAGCGAGTGATGCGAACCAGCACTGCACCATTCGTTTCTTCCTCGGTTGCCATGTTGCCATTCTCAGCTCTTTCTAGTACTCGTACTCAAGAGGGGTACAAATCCCGTGAACGCTCATGAACTGAAAACAGCGTGTGCGGAGGAGCAATGGGGCTGTCTTACAGTGTAATCCCGTGAGTTTGTTCAACTCTTGGTAGATTTTCTGACATATTTTCCAAGTTGCTTTGTGCTTTCTGCAGTGAGGCCCCGGCAATAATACTATTATTATCTTTACCGCCTATCTTGGCCATCCATACAGTAACGGGTCTTCAATGTCTGGCTAAATAGTACATTGGTTGTAAGCTACTTAGGTTCGACGGAATACCATGACGATTTGCTTTCTGATTCATTGGGCACTGCTCATAATACAAACTATCCATTCAAGTCCATTCGCACCATATAACCAGCGACTGAGAGCTTTCTGCAACCCTGAAAGTAAACTCAACTTTAGTGGCATTTAACGGTCAGAAAAAGACTGCACAGCTAGGTCAAGGGGGTCAGTCGCTTTAGACCCTGACTGGTTTTGGGGGCAATGTTTGTTTGAGGGGGAAAGAACCATTTTACCCCACCTTAATAAATGATGTTGAAGCCAGCAAACAGCAAACATGTATAACCAAAAAGTATGTGGGAGTTAGAGGAAAGCACTAGAATCTATTGCGGCCAACGGTAAAGATCCGTGATACCCCCCAAAATTACCTTAAAGGGTTCCGTTTCTGATTTCCCAACAACAGCCTCTGACCTCTTGTTGACCTTGGTCGTGGTTTACTGGATCATAAATAGATTATTCATGATGGTGGAACTAAAATACTGCGCCTTTATTTTGATTTACACCGAATGAATAAAATCGAACACAGAACTACTCCGCTAATTAATTATGGTATATTCACCCATTATGACACTGCTTTCCTTGAAGTATATCTCAGTCCCACACCTGCACTGTCAACAACTCGGAATTTGTAAAACCTTGGTGGGACGACGAGAAGTCGAATGTACTCTCTTAGGGGGCACGCAGTGCCCCAATTTCGAGTCAATACCTCTAGAGATTGTACATTGGAGTAGCTCTCAGTAGTGTATTTTGTCTTTTCCACGAATTTTGCTTCTAAAGGTCTGTGCAGGAACCGAGGACTTGTGCCAATCCGCGGCAAAAGGCGGCTGCACTATCGAGTTTCCCATTCGATCGCTCCTTTCTGTTTTACACCCATAAAATCCAAAAGGTAGCAAGCCCATCCCAAAGCATCTTCATCTATCTCTTATCTCGTAAACCGTAGCACACCACCACCATCATCATGATGCACCAAGACAACTACAACCATCTCCCTTACGAACGATTGGCATGGCAGTCTCCGAACAGCACCATGGCCATGCCAGTCAGCAGTAAGGCGAGCGACCGTACCGCTGACACCGGAGGCTGGTCCATGACAGGCATCGCCTATCCCGGCAAGCACGGTGAGTGCAGGGATAGATCCCTCTATTCGTGCCAAGTTTCTGAAGACCTCTTGAGCTGTCCTTCTAACATTCCCTTCTCCCTGCTATTGTCTTGTTCAGATGTGGTGAGTTACCTGTAGCCTCGATGTGGTGCAGCCATACCCCACCGTCGGTCAAGTCAGGCCGTCGGCGATGTCCCGGGATCTTATCCTCTTCCATATATCAAGCTGAGCGCTTTCTCACACGAGTTTTATAATCTTTTTGTGCCTCTTCAGATGTTGGGCAGGGGAGGAGAATCCAATTATCATGCGTAAGTCGTCTACTGCGCTGGGGTATCCTTCTGGTAGATCGTTGACACGGCTAGCCAGTTTCTCACACTTCGACGAATCTACTGCACAACCACAGTGGCAACCTGACCTTTCGAAGCTTTATCCAAGAGCACAAGATTCGATACCAAAAGGCCCGCAAGCAAGAGAAACCCATCATTGCCCTGGAGGTTGTCTTGGCGTGGCGTGAACTCAGCCCCCCTGGACGTTTCCTTGCCAGGGTCGACCCCAGCCGAGCAGACAGTCTTTGGGAGGATGTCGGCGACGAACAGGCTTGCAAGAGAGCTGGAAGAACTCTTGGAGAAAAGTCTAGTAACAAGACTTCACCCAAACGAAAACATTCCAGCAAAAGCAGCGACGCTGAGCAAACAAAGGACAAAGGTGTTGCCAGCATCGAGCCCGTCCCGAGTCGACCCAAGACCCCTCAGGGTGCGTTGGACTTTATTGCTTCTTTGACTGGTCGCAACGTCTCTTCCAACACTAGTTCGGTTGTTCTTTTCAACGAAGAAGGACAGTCGGTCAACATCTTATCGAGCAATTCGGTGGAAGAGGAAGGACGACCCAACAAGAAACGCAAGCTTCGGGCTCCATCTCCGGATACCACAGCGAGCGGGGCATCAATGTACAGCGACAAGTCCTCCCCCATTGTCACCCCCGATAACACGGTCACTCTGGTGGAAGAAAGCAGGGCGATGGCGTTCCTAGATACGCCGATGTACACTGCCAAGCCACGCTCCCAGCAGTTGATGGACGACCTTCCGACTGCAGAGTTTTTGACTCAGACTGTCGTGTTTGATTGATTCAACCTACCTACCTACCTACCTACCCACCTACCTGGTGGCTGATCAATCTATTTGTTGCTGCATCTACTGTTTCCCCCATTGCTAGACTCTTCTGCCGGCGTCTCCTCTCGCTGCTGCAGACAACCCTCCTACATAGACCAAACGACGCATGCTCCCTTTCGAAACAAATCTCCGGTGGTTCATATCCCTGGAGTATGTACATACAGTACTTGGAGCATGCTTGCATACATATTACCTCCCTGTCTTCCTGCTTCTTGACAACCTTGCGGCTGACCTCCTTTGGATTTTGGAACATCGTCAGGTAACGTCACTACTAGTAGGAATTACATGCTTTTACCAAGACGTACTACTACATAGCCTGCACAAGGGCTTCACCTTTGCTTGGCTTGGCGTTCAAAGTTCGTCCCACACCCAGCTAGCTAGCTAGCCTAAGAGGCAGGTGTACCGTAATAGGTTGGAGGGGGAGCTCGGCCAGAGGATCTTTGGTCGCTCCACGGAAGGGTTTTGTTTGTGTACTATTATTAGTACTTTAACCATCGAGCTTTTGAATCATTCAAATCCCATTTTCGTTTCATCTCTTTCTTTTCAGTCTTCAGTCAAGTCGCGGCTTCAAGAATTCAAGAGTTCTTTTTCCGATGAGTGCTACCGGTACTAGTACATGTAGTATGGTACCGGTAGACTATAATAGCTGGAGTGATGGAGTGATGAGAATTTGCTGAGATGACCCCCGACTGCGTTGTGCCCAGGTCACAATGGCTCATTGGCACCGTGCCTCTTCTGTCTTCTGTCCCTCCTGTTGTTATCAACGAGAAGGTGGGAGGAAGCAATAAGAAACCGCGCTATGGCCCCATAGTACAGTGGGCATTAAGGCACCGGTGCCAGCTGTGGCTTCACCTTTTCCTCACATCTTACATTGTCATGGTGGACTGAGAGTTCCCGTGGTGAGTTTGACACCCGCTGCAACCCAGTTCAACGTTCAACAGCAAGATGCCTTCCGTCGCCTGGCAAGATGGACAGGCAGGTAGAGCAAGGAGCAGCGTGCAGCGTTTTTTGATGATACATACATGACGAGAACAGCAACGAGAACACGAGCGAGAACCAAGTAGCAGGCGTCAGCTCAACCCTCTCATCAGCTTTCAGGCAACCGGTGGCTGCTACCTGCTACCGGTATCTACTCGCAAGCAAGCAATACCTTGGTTCTTTTTCCCAGCATCGCGCTACAAATAATAGGCAGCCAACGAAATAAAGAGCAATCCTTGCAAAGTTCGCTCCATTGGAACTCATCACAACACAACCGAAGGCATCCTCCTACTGTACAAGAGTTCCTGTTCTGCAACCATGGGTCTGCCCAAAAAGAATTGTTACAACGTCTTCAACGCCTTGCTGCCGGCATCAATACAAGATTCTGCGTCCCACTTCGATGGCCTATCATAACAGTGGTAAGTACATGACATGTGTTCCTATTCGTGTAACTTGAAAGGATTGAGTAAAGAGAGTGCTTCGCTCTCTTTGATCTTGCTGAAACTTGTGGTTAGGCAAGCAAGCAACCATCTCTACTAGCTACCGGTCCTGGTAGTAGGCAGGAACGCTTGTCTTGGATGCTTGGCTGGATGACCAACAAGATGATGGCATGCAAGATGGTACGTATGAACGAAGCCCCAATTGCTTTCCCTGCCTTGAACTCGAAGCGCTCGGCGTGCAACAGTGCAAGCAAGTGCTAGTACGGTACTACTCGAAGATGGCTATTCCTCTTCCTTGCATTGATAATCGTACTCGCTGCTTGTGTTGTCGCCCCCTTCTCCCCCTCTGGGCGTTCGTCACTTGTCTCTTCGGGTGGCCCTAATCAATAACATCCCGAGCCGACGACGAAAGGGGGGTGTTGCAATTCTCGAATACTGGACTAGCGTTCTTCGCTCTGCCTCAATCATTCATCTATCATCAGCTTGTCTTCCCCCTGAACTTTTCTTGTCTTCCGGGTGGTTGGTGCAACTCTTTTGCTCCGCCTGGCCGTTGATGACGTACAGCTCCTCTAGCTAGCTAGGCTACATATATTGACTGGAAGCGCGTCATGATACCGTTGAACCTTTTGAAGCAAATATCCCACCAGGCATTGGAGGCAGTTGAGACGCACCCCCACAAGCAGGTACCTGTAGTAGGGCCATCTCCGCCCCATCTATCCATCCATCATTCAAAGTCCCTTTCTCCCCCACCTCTCCCGTTTACGTCGTAAAACTTTCTCCTGAATCACCTCCTCCAGAGAATCTACTACATACACGATGTAATTCTTGGTATCTTCTGTTTGGCTAACGGTACCAGGTACCGGTACCTATTACCTTCCGTCTTTCTAAGAAGAGATTCAACTCTTTGAAGCAGCTGAAGCGGTGTAAGAAAGATACCTTTTTGTCGTTCGCTGACGTAGCTTTCATGACATGGAAGTGTCAGCCGTTTGATTCTTGTGTGACATCGACCGAGAATTAATGGGGTGCCGCCAAAGAGGACCGCGCCAGCGTTGGAGCAAAAAAATGACAAGGAGCTGGCTAGGTGAACAATCGCAGTCAAAAGAGGACCGGTGCAAGGAGCAAGAATCAGAGTTTAGTAGGAGGAAGGAAGAACAAACAAACAAGTGCCAACCAACATGCCATCATAGCAAGTCTCTTGACGAAGACAAGCTAGCTAGGTACTGTATCGATTTGTAAATAAGTCTATACATCATAATTACACCAACAAGCAACAGGAAGAAGAAGTTCCTCCAGCTATCCGCCACTTGATTGGGTCTTGTTTTGATTGACAATGCCCGCCATTTACTTGTTTCAACGCCGCACTCTGTACGGAGGAGATGATTTGCACGTGTTGGCACTCATGACGGCCACGGCCCGTCTGGCCCAACTGTTGTGTTATTCCGTCTTGGCATATCACGGCCAACATCACGTGTCGTCGTTTGCGCAAGGAGGTCGTGGCTTGCAGGGTGGTACGATGCAGTTGGGCATTTCCACGTTGGAATTTGGATGGATGGATGCCTGGGAACAACGACAACAAGATCGGAGTTTGCAAGATGACAACAACAATAATGACAAGTGTGATCACTGGTTTCCGTTCTTGTTGACATCGTACACCATGGCCGGCATTGTCTTTGGCGTGGCATCGCTGTTACTATTGGCGCGCATTTACCAAGTGAGCAGTCAAGGGTGTCCTACGATTCATCGACATCCACGTACCGAACGAATGCAGCAATTGCTGGAATGGCTCTTTTTGCCACTCAATATTCTCCATTTTCTGGTCTGGCTGGTCGGGATGGCCGCCATGGCCTATGCGTATTCCTTTGAACAACAACGAGACGAATGTCACAGCACGACTAGTGTGTCCACCTTTTTCACCGTCCTCTGGATTGCCAGTGGCATTCTGTTGCTCCTCAGTCAAGCCATTGAAATTGTGTGGAATGCACTTTACGTATTTGTCTTATACTACAATGATCCTCATGCCATGATTTGGACACCCAACAACAGTAACAACTCCAGCAGCAGCTTACTACTCCATTCGCAATCCTATCATCATCAGTCTTCGTCCAACACTATTACAAATAGCGACACGACATTGCAACCACCCATTCAAACGTATTACGACAATCATGCCCTCGTCGAACAAATGTGGTCCGATCGATGTCACAATTGTTGTCAATGGTTGGGATTGGGAACGTGTTACATTTTTGGAGGAAAAGATTTATATGGAGGCAATGGGGCATTGCATTATGGAGACTTCGCACGGGCCATGGCCGATTACTTGGAGACGAGAGGCGTCTTGGACGTTGTCCCGTCCGATATTATTGTCGGCTTTTTGGTATTGCAACAATTGCAAGTCCAACGACGACATGTCCAACGACAAGAAGTATTGTCGGAACATACCAAACAATCCTCGTATTTCCCCATTGACTTTAACCCAACAACAATAACAACAATATTGATACCACCAGTGAACCGCTCTCATTGTCATTGTCATCATCACAGCACAAAACGCAATTGCACAATCATCGAGCCAATATTGCCAATGGAAATTCGCCCAAAGGAATGCGACTCTCCAAATCCACGGCGTCACTCGAACAACACCAATTGCCCACACCACAAGATTTACTACGAGCCAACAACAATCAGACAACCAAGACACGTCCGTCGGGACTCTTACAAGCCATGGGAAGCATGGATGCGCCACAACAACAACAACGTCTCTTGAATAATAACGACAACCAGGACAGTGTTATGACTACTCGTGGAGCATCCTTTGATCACTCGAGTCCTCCTCCTCCGAAAGTACGGTCTTTTCGAAGACAACAATCGGCGGGGTCTGGGTCGTCCACATTTGTCAACGAACAACCTGCCAATCAGTTTCGCAGCTTTCAACGATTGCTCTCGGAACAAAATCGTGCCGATGTCATGGTGTTGCAAGATGGATCTCGGTATGCCAAGTACGCGCTCGCCATTTATACCTGGTACCTCTATCTGTACGTTCATCCCATTACCGGGATTCCACGGCTGTGTGCCAAGGCGTGGAATTCCAATATTAAATGTGGTGGCGGTGGTTGCTGCTGCTGTTCGGCGTCGTCGTCGCAGTCTTTGGATGGTGTGCCAATGAACAACAACAACAACAACAACAATAATGGATCGGCTGCCAATCATGCACCGCCGCATCGCTGGGAGGGTGACAACATCTGTCAAGCACACAAACATGCACTGCTGTTGGCGGCCGGGTTGGACAATGAAGCAGATTTGGTCTATGTGCAATTAAAAAATTCGTTCAGTGACAATCCCTACTGTATCTTGTTGGACCATGAGAACCAAACTGTGGTACTCTCCATGAGAGGAACATTTTCACTCGAAGATTGTGTCACGGATGTTCTCTTGGAACCCGAGTGCTTGGAAGCATTGGGAGATGAATTCGGGTTCGCCGACATGGCAAAAGGACAGCATTGCCATGGCGGTGTCTTGGCGTGTGCTCGGAATGTCTATCGCGATTTGAAACGACACGGTTCGTTGGAGTACTTGTTGGAATCCAAGTATCCGCAGTACCAGCTTCGATTGGTGGGACACTCTCTCGGAGCAGCAACGGCAACAATGCTGGGATTCATGTTAAAACCCGCGTATCCCACGTTGCAATGTTTCAACTACAGCCCTCCCGGTGCTACCATGACGTGGGACATGGCGATTCAATGCCAATCGTGGTGTACTTCCTTCGTATTGGACTGCGAGCTCGTACCGCGATTGTCTTTTGAAGCGCTCGAGTATCTGCGAGATGAAGTGCTCGATTTGATTGGAAGAATTCGAGTGTCCAAGCTGGAAGTTGCTCGTCGAGTCGCCACCAAAACGCTGTGGTGTGGAAAAAAGAAGCTTCCGAATCCTCGGAACGAGTACGACCTGGAGCAAGCCATTACATCCGTTGACGAATTGGACGACCTGTTGAGTGACTTGCTGCTCCCATCCCACGAAGTACCGGATACTCCCGAGGCCACGTCGTATCGCCAACAGCTGGAACAGTTCCAGTCCGTTCAATCAGAGAGGCGATCCGCTCGTGGAACTCGACGTACCATTCGATTGTTCCCGCCTGGTCGCATTTTGCATTTGGTCAAGACAGACGAAGAACAGTCTTGCGGTGTCCAAGTGGCCAAGTGCTTGACATGTTGCATGAGCAACGCCGGTTCACTCTATACGCCTTGTTGGATTGGTAATGGAGATTTGAATGAAATTGTGATTAGTCCGACAATGGGGACGGATCACTTTCCGGACAGAATGGTGACAGAACTGGAGGGGATTGTTCGAAACTTTGGACTCGAACAACGTTGATTGTGACGTGATTGCCGTCATCTTTTAAGGCCACTGGCACCCTACCGCTAGACTACTGAAGCTACTGAAGTTTGTTGCATAGAGTTAAGAAAAACGCCGTAAAACTAATAGCTAAACTAATACATACATGAAGAAAACCTCGTCCTGCCTTGTCCGCTTAGCGGAAAATGTGCAGACGTGAGGAGGCGAAAAGTGCGGAGAAAAATTAATTGAATCACCGGCCCAAGCGATGCCAGATTAAGCAAGCGCCCATCCTATTAGAACCATTGAAACCATCGCAGATTTCCTTACCGAGAGACGGCCCGCTCTTGACAGCAGAAGGCCCGCAATTGGGTCGCTTTCTTCGCCACCGGTACCTTGACCGCTGTCCATCACCGGAGTAGCAGCCGAAGCGGGTGTCCCTTGGCTCTTGTCTATGGCAGGCACCGACGCAGACTTCGCCACGGAGGCTCCGTTACTACTCGTTGAACGAGAAACTCTGTAACAAAGCTCACTCGGGAAGCTGGCCCAACGGTAGTCCGTTTCCGCGGTGATGCTGGGGAGCTCAATCACCGCGTTGATGGTGTTACTGGATACATCTCTTGCCTCAAAGCAAGTGAAACGGAAGGCACCACTAGTCAGGGTGTGTTCGTTGTCCTTACCACACTCCCAAGCAGTGTCCGAGTAGCTAAAGCTCTGGTCACCGAGATCACCACACCAGAGACCGGGAGTGAGGAACCGCGAGACCGTCGCATTTGATGAACAAGAAACATCCGTAGGGAAGTACTCTGCACGAGCGGTTGGCGTCTCGTCCACACTCGTGCATTCCTGAAAGAGCAAAGGATTAACGAGATGAGCGTCGAAAGAATCATAGACGTCGCCCTCTGATGTGGCTTGGCAGTGCAAGCTGCAATGTACCGGTACAAGCAAACACTCACATATATCACGAAGTCCTCGTACACGTACACAGAGGTAAAGCTCAGACGTGTCTCCGTGCATTCAATCTCATTATCCGCCACCACTTCGCAATCTTGAGTGCTTTCAATCAGATCTATGACTCCATTGGGACAAGTAACACGGAGACCTGTGTAGCGCCCCGAACATACATCCTCATCGTAAGTGAACGCCCAGGAGGCACCAAAGCGCGCAGTGTACGTCCCTGGTGTCCTCATCACCATGAACGGAACATCTGGCTGTGGCACAGGCGAGCCGTTGTTGGTTTGGATGCACTCTTGATATCGATGGTGGTCTGCCGTAAAGGTAATCTGATCGTACTCGATTCTGCAAAAGTCTCCATCGGGGCAAAAAAATTGCCCAGTGACGCAGGAGTAATTGCCGTTGACATCGTAGGGTAGAAAGTTACTCGTACAGTCAAGGTAATGGTCATCGTTTGAGTAGGAGTACACCGTGGGATCCTTTTCATCAGGACATAGGACGTTGAGCTGACCCCATGCAGCATTGCGGCCTCGAGCAACGGCATCACCGGTACATGTTCCAAACTCTAGTGTAGTCTCAGTTCCATAGATCCAAGCTGCCGCGTCTACGCCGTCCACGTCGTCTTCCAAAGAGCATCGGAATTCAATCGATGCAAACTCTTCGTTGGCAGTCCAGTCATTCGTCAGTGGATCTACGGGCGGATTGATTTCCACAAATGATGCATCCTTGCACACATCCGATCGGCATTCGAATTCACAGAAAGCAAACATGCCTTGGGTTGATGTTGTTCTTGGTTGGGGTGGTGTGCAAACAATGGAAGGATCCGATGTACCGAGAACCTCAAGCTCACCGGATTCACATTGGACTGCAAATTGTTCCCGCTCCGGTCCATCACAAAGGGGATCGAGCACCCGTTTGAAGCGCAGTTGATAATCCACGTGGTAGATCGTCCCCGGTGGAGGTTGCACAAATTCCATGTCGCCTAACGGAGCTTCGGTGGTTGGTGTTGTAGCTGGTGCACTCGTGGGGGTTGGAGCAAACGTGAGAGGCAGTGCCGACGCGGGAGGTCGTGGCGTTGGCCCCGTTGGTGCAAATGTGAGCGGAATGCCGGAGGAGGGAGGCCTGGGAGCAGGAGTAGTGCTTGCCCCCGGGCCAGTGGGCGGTGTGGGTGCAAACGTGAGAGGAATGTGAGATCCGGAGGTTTGGCCACCCCCTGGTGGTGGCGCCGGTGCAGTCTCGGAACACCCAAATCCAATTCCGAAAAGGGAAAGAGCACAGGGGACTTCTTCCTGGGTATAACAATTCTGACTGACTCCTTGCGCCCATCCCATGTCGGTGTGGATTGTTGTGCTGGAAATTCGCGATGTGCCCTGATTGACCCCCGCCGAAAAATGGGCCGCCGAAACACAGGTATACGTATTATTGAAAACGTCAAACTCGTTGGTGAGGCCGCATTCGAAGAGATAATCATCAAAGGACGTCACAACGTTGCCCCCTGGTTCCTCACAACGGACTCCGAGCTGAATGTAGTGCGCCACAGACATATCTTCCTCTGCCACGCAGAGAGAATCGGCGGGAAGATATTCTGCCTGGGCTTGTGGAAGGGCATTGGTCGAGTTGCATTGCTAATCGCACAAGTCAAAGATCGGTCAGTGATTTCCACAATAAACAAGACACCATTCTTTCGTGTGAAATTGGGAGGGTGAACTTACAAACGCGACACCGGTAAAGCCATTGACGAAATGCGTGGCAGCCGTGTCTTCACATTCCAAGATATTGTCACTAACGCTGCTACAAGACACGGTGTCTTGTAGAGTTTCCACCAAGGTAATGTTCCCGTTGAGACAGGACAGTCGTCGACCTGTATAATCTCCTCCACAAACGGTGGTATCCAAGGCCAACTGCCACTTTGCTTCGAAAACAGCCGAGAACTTTCCAGGTTGTTGAGTCTCAATGGTAGTGGTGCGGGTGTCATCCGCCGGAAAGGTGGCCCCGTTAAACGCCTGTACACAGGCTTGATAATCAAAATTGACATGGTCCGAAGCCAGGAACAAATCGTCAAATTCGACCAAACAATCCGTGCTGGTGCTACTACTGCAAATTGGCGTGTTGGCAGTTTTGCACGAGTACCTGTCCTCCAATTTATCAACGGCATTTCCAAGACCACATTCAAAATCCTTGTCGTCAAATGAAAACGATGATGTACTACCGGATCCACAGTCAATGCCCAACTGAGCGACATGAACGTTCACGTCGTCGGCAGAATCACAAGATCCGGCTGAGCCACCGAGAAACGTCAACGAAGCTTCAATATCTCCGAGAACATCGCCTCGACAGTCAAACTGGATTTCGGCAAATTGGGCATCGGGTCCTTCGATACTAGAAGATTCGAGGTACACGTAGCTTTGGTCGCAATTAGACGTTTCGTCGCAGATAGTAACACATGTCACACTGGTCCCATCAACATTGGGAGTACAAACAATGGAAGGATCCGACACTTGAGTAACTTGAATCTCTCCGTCACAAACCAGTTCGACCGTTGGGGGAGGACCCGAGCAACCTGGATCCACATAATGAAGATATCGAGCTTGCCGAGCTTGGTTCGTATCTTGGATCTACGATGTACAAACGACTTGAACGGAGAGTGTTGGGTGCGTCAATTGGCGAGGTTGTGATGAGATCTACTGCATGCTCACTGCTTCATTCATTCAGACTTGGATTGAGTGCACCCAAAGTTTGCACATCTCGAGCATCCAATGCCCCTATTATCTCCAAGACCCCTCAACTGGCATCAATAAATAAATCTATTTTAAAATAATCAATCCCCTTCTGTGCTTGGAGATTGGAGAGAAGCTTCCAAGTGACTTTCACTCAGCTGCGTGTCCCAGTCAATAAACAAATAAACTGATGTGTCTTATATTTGCTTGCGCGAGTTACGAGTGCTTTCTCACGCCAACTGAAACTGCAACTGTCTCTAAAAGAAGACAGCAGTCTTAATTAAAGTTTTTCAGTTGCTTTTCATCCGCCATAAACAATTCTCAAGTTGTGACAGTGAAGCTTTAAGTCTTTAAGTGAGACAGGCTCAAAAATGAGACACTCTTGATCATACGATTCCCCGTTGATCCTCATTGATCCACAGTGGCTACAGAGACTAAATTCCTAAATTCAACTTTTTACGAAGTCGTTTTTGCTTTTCCCCCTCAAAGCCAGTCTTTTACGAGGTACAGAATGCCTTTAGCTGAGCTTTTGCGTCCCCTCTTCTAACGTCACAAAGCATGCAGCGTGCTCACTTCAACAGCGATGACAATGATATTAACCTCCTTCAGCCAGCAATGGTAGCGAGGCACGAGGGCGAGGTTCTTCCTGTGGATATAGATGACGAGGTAGCTCTCGTTGAGGATGACGACTCTGCTGCCATTGAAAATGACCCAGAAGAGGACAACTACAGTGAAGAAGAAGATGATGAAGAAGACGGAAGAAGATCCAATTCCTCGAGTTATTGGAGATATCGATGATCCTCGTCGCATGATGTTGACAAGAGAGGAGCTTGAATGGGCCTTGGAAGTCAAAGAATTGATTGAAAACACCCCTGAACTTGACAATCTTCCAGACATGATGTACGCCCAGATTGCTATCATCACCAAAGGCAACCACGAGGACGCCTTCAGGCGAGCATGGTTGCTGCAGGAATTTCGAAAAGAGTACAATATACTGGATACATTTGAAGAAGGACTCCAGATGGTGACTAAGCTGGTTGAGATCCTCCCGCTCATGTTGCTCTCTTTCAGCTTCAGTCCCAGTGAAGGTACCTTTGTTGTAGTGAATGATATGTGCAAGTTGAATACTACAGTTCTCAATACACCCAGAAGGGTGAGGATGTGGATGGCATCCTCCTATTACATCCATTCAGCATTAAGCGCCGATGTGGCATCAATTCGGAGGGGATGTATTGCAGTGGTTGAATGTGAAGGCATGGACTGGACTAAAAAGCAAGACTTCAAACTGCTGCAAGCCATGTTTTCCCAATTGTTGACTGTCTACCCATTCACTGGCGAATTTAGAGGATTTCATACTGGGACGATTTTCAATATTATGGCATCCACACTCCGGCGAATCCTACCAAGGCACTTGAAGAGTATGGTCCAAACAGGACATACTTGTGAAGGGAGGTTGGACACATTTTACTTGGTGCCTGATGTATTATCAGCCAACCAGCGACTGATTTCCCGCGTCACTAGTGCTCTACAGATGCGATATGAGAATGAGAGGACCTTTTCGCTGGAACCCCACCAAGAGTAAGCCAGAGCGTTCCAGTCAGAACGCTTTGCTGTTTTTGTTCGATTTCAAGTCGAGTCTGCGCCTGCAAGCTGTGCCGGAAAACACAATGGAAGTGGGGAGTTCTTCGGGGATGATTTTATTAAGAACTTGTCATCTAGCTAGCGTATGACCAAGGAGACGTTGCGTGGTTGCAAGAGCTTCGCTCTGAGTACCAGTACCGGTAGCGGTGCGGGAAAATACCCTGGATGATGTTGTTGTTCTGGTGGTGAGCGGCGAAGGGCTTGCAGGAAACGGGAAACGAGGCATGGAAATACAAGAACTTGCGTACAGTACTCAGTAGTTAGTTCTGCGAGACGACCGGCTAGCTTGTTCAATAATATTATGGTCAGTCTTCCCTTTTTATGATTGTAGACTATCACTACGAGTAGCTACTACGCTACCTGTCACTAAAGCTAATAGCTCTAGCTAGAGCTCTGCTGGTAGGCCCTGTGATTGGAGCAACTTGAATCTTTCCACTTTCCAATACCGGTACGGTACCGGGTCTGGAGCTCGAGATGATGTATGTGGTAGTCTACTGTACATCATGTAGCTACTGGTATGCTTGGCATTAGCTACGATACCGTATCTCTGCAGAGTGGCTTCCCATTATTTTGAGGGGGTTGAGGAGGTTGGAGGTCTCGTGAAAAGAATCTAGCACTCGACGTGAGAGACGTCGGCCCATTAATTCCTTCAATCCCCCGGATATCGGACGGAAGGCTTGAAGCATTTTTAATTTTGTCCGGCTTCACTACATGTATTTCTTTGACCTTACTCCAAAACCTGTGTCTCGTCATAGTTTGACGGACGTTCAACAACGAAACGATCCAAGCGCCCTCCAACGCGTACGGGAGCATCAAAGGATGAGCCTCCAAGCAGGACAGGAAGACGGAGACGATGTTACGGCAGTCCCTGCCTTTGGAGATGATAACGCTCCAGCTCCAGTTGACGGTGCCAACCAAAATGTCCTTGTAGAGGAGGATGACGGAAGTCACAATAGCGAGGATGAGGATGAAGAAGAAGATGATGAAGAGACAATCCCTCGAGTTATTGGAAATATCGATGATCCTCGGCGCATGAAATTGACACAAGAGGAGCATGAGTGGGCCTTGGAAATCAAGGAAATGATAGCAAATTCCCCAGAGCTTGATAAATACACGGACTTCATGTGTGCTCAGATGGCAATTATTACAAGGGGTGATTTGGAGGACGCAATGCACCGTGCACATGGTCTACAAGATTTTCGGAGAGAGTACAAAATTCTAGATACCTTGGAACAAGGACACATGTGCATGAAGCAGCTTACCGAACTCCTTCCTCTCCATTTGCTGTCATTCAGCTTCAGTCCCAGTGAAGGTACCTACATCTTGGCGCATGACTTGACCAAGATAGATACAAAACTTCTCAACACAGTCAGCAAAGTGGAAACTTGGATGGCGGCATCATATTACTTGCACACAACTTTCTCTGCAGATATGGCTTCTATTCGAAGGGGGTGTATTGCCATGGTTGAGTGTGAAGGCATGGACTGGACCAAGAAGCAGGACTTCAAGCTGATTCAAGCCATGCTCCGTCAGCTTTTGACTGTGTATCCATTTATTGGTGAATTCAGAGGATTTCATACAGGAACTGTCTTCAATGTGTTGGCTTCCATACTCCGCCGAATCCTTCCTAGTGAATTCAAAGAAAAATTCAGAACAGGGTACAGATTCGACGGCAGGCTGGACTCCTTTTACTTGATGCCAGATGTGCCCACAGCAAATCGGCGGCTGGTATCACGTTTATGTGAAACTCTCAAGCGCCGCTACGACAATGAACAAACATTCTCTCTTGACTGAGGAATATGGTGCCACCAGGTTGCTAGATTGTGCTGGCTGGCTGGCTACTAGAACATGTACTAGTAGTGCCATTCCCCTATAGATAGCTTCATAATGGAAGGCCGCTTACGCCCATAACTTGCTTCATGATAGAAGTAGAAAGGTCGCTACTAGCTAGCTAGGTTAGTCTCCAGCTGGTACCCAGTTTGGTGGCTGGGGATCATGGCTAGATGAGAGCTTTGAGTGTTCCTCCATCATCCTTCTTCCGTGTGTGTTCACTTTTCATTTATTTTTGGTTATTCTTTCTCCAAAAACGGGATTGGGCTTTCTTTGTTCATGGGCAGGGTTATGAGCGTCACGTCACGGCGTACGGTAAGGACACAACCTGCGCACTACGCTGTACATGTAGCTAGTAGAAGCGTATTGGCGTTGGTGCAGTTGGTGAGAGGAAAAGCGGCCATGGAACCTGCAGATGGACCCAATGTGGTCGTCGAACAGCAGGAAGAAGTGAACATTGGCGACGACCAAAGCGAAAATTTCGGACACGAAGCAGAAGATGATGACGACAACCCGAATGATGGCCATGGGGACAACAATGGCGACGCGGACGAAAGTAGCAGCAGCGAAGACGAGGAGGAGCCAATTCCGCACATTCTGGGCATTGATGATCCTCGGCGCATGCTTCTAACCAGGGAAGAACACTACGAGGCATTGCAGATCAGAGCTGCCATTGAGGCAACACCAGATCTGGACAATATATCGGACTTTATGGCCGCCCAACTTGCGATAATTACCAAAGGAGACATAGAGAATGCAGTGCAACGTGTTCAGGGATTACAAGACTTTCGACAAGAGTATGGTATATTGGATTCCGTGATTGATGGATGCAAACACATGAGGAGAATGGTGGAATTGTTTCCACTGCATCTGCTTTCCTTTAGCTTCAGCTACAACGAAGGCACCTATGTACTCATCCAGGATGTACCCGAGCTGGACACCACCCAGCTGGATACCCCAGAAAATGTCAATTCATTCATGGCAGCTACATACTATTTGCACACAACATACTCTCCTGATATGGCATCCATTCGCAGGGGAATCATTGTACTTGCCGAATGTGATGGCATGGACTGGACCAAGAAGCCCGATTTCAAGCTAATTCACAATGTGTTCTCCCAGTTGCTGTCTTGTTACCCATTCACTGGTGAATGCCGCTTGTTTCATACGGGGGTTGCCTTCAATGTGCTTGCAGCGATGCTGCGTCGGTTCCTACCGAAAGACCTGAGGCGTCAGTTCCAAACTGGTTTTGTGTTTGAAGGCCGCCTGGACACATTCTACTTGACGCCGGATGTTCAAACAGCAAACCGACGTCTACTTGCACGGCTGGAAGAAGCACTGACAAGGCGCTTTGAAAATGAGAGAGTTTTCAGACTCTAAATGAAGTACACTGTGTCGACGAGGCTCTGTCCTCTCATTCAATATTATTTCTGAACAACTGAAGGGTGCACTACCTACATGAAATAGCACCTGAATTGATTCTTTTTGAGGGCGCTTTTCGGTTGTCCAGGTTCAAAACGGTATGCGCCAATTCACAACTAACTTTACTACCCTGAATGCATCGGATTCGTCTCGGCTATGCATACAATCAACGGCGGCTGCTCGCGAGAGCCTCGAGATTTCGGATTCGATTCTGTGGCATTGAACCTCATTCTTTAGCCGTCTATTTCGCGATGAAGGTTCGAAATGCCGCGGCAAAAGTGATTTCCTGCCATGGATTTATTTGCTATTCAAATTCATGAAGGCTGATCAGATCGGATGATTGAATATGATGCTTCTGTTGGAACGACAAGGTCAGGATCTGGTTCGAGGCTACATTTCATCACGCCACTAATAGAAGTGGTTGGCAGGGAGTCGAGTCGTCGGTCCCAACGTATGTCATTACCCGAATTACCAACCGATTCCGCAGTGCATTAGGCGATGCATGCTGATTGAGAGCGGACGCAGTAGCTGCGACAAGCGGCAACCTGGAGGCAAATGAATCGGGGCAACGATCCTCGGACGCGTCTTGGATTTTTCAGGTGCTTGTCACTCCCCCCGTTGGAGACCGAGTCCCTAGCTAGCTACCGTAGCTAGTAGCAGTAGAGAACTAGTAAAGAACTATTGTAGCGATTTTCAATAAGCTTGTACGGTAATGATGCTCGCTAGGTTCAAATCTCGGGCAGCGGGAAGGGAATACGAGGCTTTATTGTCCGTCTGAAGTACGGGTACAAAGCCGCCAAAGTAAGCATGAAATGTCTCTTCCCCCGTTTGAAGCAGGTTTTCACGCAATTTTCACTGCTGTGGCTGGCTTATTACATCGGTGTCAGCAATGGCGCTCTGAAAAGAGAGTTGGTTGATTGCTTGTACACGCCACGCCGTACTGTACAACAATGAGTGGAGAGTGTTCCAACCAAGATGCAGGGCAATGCGCTTTGGTGGAGCTTCCTGAGACGATCTTGGGGCACATTGTGGACTTTCTGACCTTTTCAGAAGCCCATGGATGTCTGTATGTGGTGAATCGTTCCTTTTGGTTTCAGCACCGTCCCAGCGTTGCTCGTACAACCGTTGAGGTGACTGTCGATGCTTGCAACATCACGGGCCGAGTGGAGGATGACGATGATCCGAGCCGAAAATTTGACGCTTGTCTTCCCATGACGAAAACATTGGAAGTCTACTCGAACCTACGGGTTCTGGATCTCCAGTCTCTGGCCACGGATGAATTGTTGGGATCACTCATGGAAGCGGACTGTTTGCCACAGCTCACAACGATTCGCATGCGTCGATCTCGTGGTGTCACGGATCAAGGGCTGAAATTTTTGAGTCGGCACAACAACAACAACAATTTTGATTCCAGATCGCAATTAGAAGAAATTGACATTACCTTTTGTCAGAATACCACATACCGAGGCACATTTCCATTGCGCGACAAGCTTCCCCATTTAAAGTTACTGAGACGACAGCCCGAATGGTTGGATGGACATTTTCATACTCCCTTTGGCGATTCTGGTGGTGAAGTGGAAGTTCACACATACTGGCCGGATGGGACCTTTTCCTTCCATCGGGCGACTCAATCCACCGGGTTTGTCTTGAGCTGGAACGAGCTCCAGAATAATAATCAAGATCCACAACCCATGGTAGGCGATCGCCTCCAATTCAACAATTTTCATCCACCCGCTCAATGGACCCTTCCCGAGTGGTACGATGTCTTCCGGTTTGCTTACCGACCTGGAGTTTGTTTGCTGCAGCTGCCTGAATTAGATCACACTTCTACTACAAGTAGTAATAGTGAGAGACATGTCTTGGTGGGACAGCGTCTGCGGCGACTAAAGGCACCAACCTGTTTGGATCGAGTGGCACGAGTAGCCGATCAGATCGCCGTGGGGACATCCCGCTATGTGGACCCTTGCACGCTGCAGATTGACACCGAGCTGAACCCAACAAGGCGACATTGGCTGTTGATTAGCAAGATGAAAGTGCTTCCCTTGGAGGAGAATGATCTCATGCCACCGGCAGAGTTGGTGGAAGAATGCCGCCGTACGTGTCAAGCCATGGGCACCTACGGAGAAGCCCGATTGAGCCAATTCGAAGATGTGTTGGACGATATCCTGTCCGAGTAAAAATATATAGGCAGTACAGTATTCTCATTTATTTTACTTTTATAAAAACAACTCGAATGCTGCGAATTCAGTAGGCCAGACCTAGCCGCATTCAACAACGATTGATTAGCATAATGATTGTTGCATTGGAGGTTGGCGGAGGCCATCTACCTTCGGGAACGTTTGGGTGAATCTTGAATGTCATGATGCTCCACCCAGACCGAAGGGATTTCACCATCCGTTGGACTGGATGACTCTTCTCCTTTCCATTGAATGGGATCGGAATCATTGGAGTCATCGTCATCATCGTCACTGCTGTTATCATCCTCATCGGTATCTCCATTGCTATTATTGTTATTGCAGCAGTACAGTTTGCTGTTTTCCTTGATTTCTTGAATGGCTTTTCTGGCCCGTTCATTGGCCATGGGGAGACTCCTGAAAACGCCCAATATCTCTGGGTTGTAGTGTTCTTTGGGATCTCGATGATCTCCATAACTGTATCCTCGTTCCATTTCGGACATGGCTTGCAGTACCACAAACACACCACCTGCCGAAGTTGTCGCATCAAAGCTTCGTTTTCGGGACTGATTCTTATCCAATGCCTCACAGAGTCGTCGTCGTTCTTCTTCGTCCGTATCGACACATGCCAAAAGCACCGTCACGGCATGTTCGCAGACGCAGAGTGTCGTCGAGCAGGCACTACAGACCGAACTAAATTCTTTTCCACCCGTGACACCACTGCAAGCCACCGTGTGAATTCTTCCATTGATAGAATCTTGCACGGAACAAGTCACATGCCAGCGTCCGTGGTCGCTTATTACCTTGGGAGAATGGGTGACGAGTCGGTGTTGTTGTGGAGGTTTTTGCGTAGTAGTAGCCTTGTCGTAGAGGTGCTCTACCTTTTGAGCCTTGGTGATGGACCGAATGTCGGACTTTGTGAGCTTTGGGATCACTACTGCCTTTTGATTGTTGCAAGTGTTGTTGTGGATGTGGGTGAACATGGTGGTGCGCTTTAACAGATAGGTGTTGATGAGAAAGAAATGAGAGCGATGCCACTGCTGACACCATTGATGTTGGCGGCAGCTTTGGACTTTTTGGAATGGACCAAAAATCGCCAACGGCCAACGCAATTCACGAAAGAGGGGGTATCACCCGGCGTCAGTCATGAGTAAACCATGATTGAAAGAGGACGAAAGAAGATCTGGACACGGCCATGGTCAAGATGCCGCTGCGATACTCCAACAAAAATAAATAGTAGAGACATCATAGACATCATATATTCACCATGGCAGAATCAGCATCAGCAGCAGAGTCTACAACGCCTCCTACCGACGGCTACATCAAGACGACAACACACAATTTTATTTCGCGTCAAGCCAAACTGGAGAATGTGAAACAAGTGGCTGTCCAAGGTCGTTCGATCATCCACGGCGGCGTCACGTTGCGTGGAGATGTGGGCATTGTGCGCTTGGGACGCTACGTGTGGATGGAACCCAATACCGAACTGGAACCGGCGGCCATGTCGTTGGGTGGTGGTCGAGTCGCCATGGCCGTTGGCAATCATACCCGCATTGGACCCAATTGCCGGATTCAAGCCGCACAAATTGGGAGCATGGTCCATATTGGAGAAAATGTCAAGATTGGAAAACGATGCATGATCAAGGATTGTTGTATCATTGATTCCAACGTCATTCTGGGAGACGATACCGTTGTGCCGCCCTTTACACGAATATCCTACGATGGAGAGGATGCGTTTACGTTGAAATTGACAGAATTGCCGCCCTCTATGACGGTCGATATGCAAGAACAAGCCATGGATAACTACGACACGTTTGCCAGTAAACAGAGAGCCAGGTAGAGTTGAAATAATATCCAATCCACTTTTTATGTAGCAATTTTCCATAGTAGAGCTATTTATTGCTTCTCCTGTGGAAGATCAAAGTGCAACTAGCTATGCACTTGCTTGCTAGCAAGATACCGGTAGCCAATCGGAATTGACTACATGTACTCATTAGTAACAACCCACGGAATGGTCGCTTAGACTGTAACCAAACCTGGCTCGAATCTGATTCATCGAGGTCCCAGTGCATGGTGTAGAATACTTACTTGCTGGCGTACGGTAGCTGTAAACTTTCGTGTAGACCTCATCCAGAATGAAATGAGTTCTGGTTGGGTCTTATCCAATGCAAGCAGCTCTTTGGTCAGCTTCGCGGCGTTTAAAACCATCCTCTTGTGTCTTGACCTTTCCAGTAACATACGGTACTACCGGTAGGATTGATTCACGTCGGAACTAGGGGATAGGACATCACAGCCGTGGTACTCGTTGGAAGCACGGTATAGGTTGGTGTCAAAGACAATCTTGTGCCCCAAAGCGCATCAGCGAACAAGGCAAAACCTATCAGCCAAATGTATACGGTACCTGTTGTCGAATCCAGTGGCTGGAGCATTGATCCTCTCGAAATCAGTGTGGAACACTACAAGCAGACGTACGGAATCGAATAAAAGTGGAACACCAGCAAACGTGCTCCGGTACCAGGCAAGAAGGTATGAAGTCACCTGAGGTGGAGGCGGCACAAGTTCCCCTGATAGGATGATGCAGGCATCTCGTCGTAGACTTGTCGGGGCAGCATGCGATGGGCATCAAGGCTACATGCTCGTCTGCATTTTCTAAAAACTACACCGGTGCCCAGCCTGTGCCGTGGGTGCTGAAACAGGTCGACACGATAATCTTTAGCAACGTACCGTCGCTTCCTTTTGCAACGAACGTCTTATTAGCTACCCGGTCGTAAGCCCAGCAGGGGACGAGAAAACATAAACCTTTAACCAAGGCACGGTATCGATCACCTTCCGGAACGCCTCCATGCAATCTCAATGCTGGAAGGGTTCCGAGAGATGGCTGGAGGCTACGGTCTCAGACAGCGTTGCAGCGGCAAAAACCGGAACAAAAGATACGGAGGTTCTCGATTTCTTCACATCCTAGTCGGGAAAGTCTTTCAAAGCTCACGACGGCGGCTGCATGACCCACCAACTGTAGCTGAAAGTTTGGCAACTGTGATGGAGTGCCGTGCCAGCCAGAGAGCATCCATTGAATAGTACTGTCGCGGTCATTGAAGCCGAAAGCCATATCAAAAAGCTGTCAGACCTGATGCGCAGTCATTCTGCTTGGCCTCTTACGATCCTTGGCTTTGCTCCAAAACTGCAGTTGTTCAGACCAGATCATAATTTCAGAAATCAACTCTTCCGAAGCACCTTGATTTGAGCCACTTATTGATAGCCTACCCTTCGTTAGACAAGCGCCACCATGAAGATCATCGTCGCAATGCTGCAGCTAGCTTTCACTGTCATCACGGTGAACGCTACTACCGACGTTCCTAACTTCGAGCTCAGCCCCGACTTATCATCGCATTTGGGTCAGTTTGCCCTTGTGCCTCTCGATGAAGTGCGCCATGCCATCAGTGGAGACTTTGACTGCGAGACTTCGGATCTCGACGTGTTCATTGAAGAATCCTTTGACAGCCTTGTCCAACAGGAGCAAGAAGTGCTCGATTTTCTCTTGGATGTTTACCGTGTTGATCTCTGGCCCGTCCTTGCCCTTATTTTCTTCGAAGTCTCTCCTGATGGAAACCAAAACTTCTACCCGGACAAGCAGCAGTCAAAGAAGCTGGTTAAGGATTTTAGAGGCTTGAAAAAGTTCTGGGGTGACTCCTTCTCGCCAGAACTGAACCTCTTCGCTCTGACAACGTTGCTCTTTGAAGACGACGATCTCATGCTGAATGTTTTGTCCTTTGGGTTCGGCTTCCCCAGATTTTGTCGCCGTGTCAGTGTTGGAAGATGTGAAGAGAACGTTTGAGGCTTATCCAAATGTTGCCCAGCACCCTCTTCTTTCACTCAACGCATTCGCTTGGAATCGCGATAGTGGCCTTCCTGGTGTAACCGGCGATGGTATTGCCATCGGAGACGGTATTCTTCAGGTAAGCAAGGATTGTGTCCCGCCTCAATCTGGCACTATCCTATGCCACCCCCACCTCACAGTTCTCCCCTTGCACACCATCAGTACTATGAATGGGCTGGTTTGGGTTCTGGTCCAAGCTACGCCCTCTTCCACGAATTCGGCCACCACATCGAGGTAAGCACTGGAGTGGTTAGTCCATTGTGTATGCAGCAGTTTGTCACCACCATCCTAAACGCCTATACCTTTCAGTTTTCTCTAGGTATCTTCCCAGGTGATCGAACTCCAGAGTCGAGTCGACACTCGGAGCTGCTGGCGGATTACTTGGCGGCATATTACGCCATACACGCCCGGTAAGGGGGAAATTGTGCACCGAGCCCATCACTATGTTACCATCATGCCTCTCACATACAACCTTTTCGTGCACTCTCAACCCAGTGGTGCCACCTTTCGTCAGGATCGTGTCGAAGAGACCGTCACTGCTGCTTTCAACGGTGGTGACTGCAGTTTTACGAGCAGCAATCATCATGGAACACCCAACCAACGCGCCAAAACGGTTCAATTTGCGGCCAGTCTCATTGATAGTGCCCCGAACCAAGGACACATTCTGTCTGCGGAGGAGGTTGTGACGGCCTTTGAACATGACGTTGGCGAGATTTTGCCCCCCCGGAACTAGCCAGGTTGCGGCATGCATCGTGCGATAAAAACGATGGATGCGACTTGACTATAAGTATGTGATTAAGAAAAGAAAGAACTACAACCAAGGATGTACGAGGAGAGATGCAAACTAGCTAATGATACTAAAGCAATGTGTGACCTGTGATGCGGTGGCTCCTGGCTCCTGGCTAGCTTTGTACATCCTTTCCATTGGACAGACCGTAACGATCTGAGCTGCACCTTACGTCTGCGGTTGGGCATGGAAACAAAGAGTTGGGGTGTTTCCCGTGCATAAAGCATCTGCTAGAGCGTTGCGATGACCACATTTGCAGCCACATAGCCAATGATACAACCAACCCGTGACCAACGCCTTAGAATGGGCCACAACAACACCATAATGACAAAAACGGCATGGACACCCCCAGCTTCCAACTGTGAATTGCCAAGTACCGCCCCCACCAGGGCTAGATCAACAGCTGTCTCATTAGTAGCAGCAACCGCGTGCACTGGCAATGCTGTTGGAGGCGGTGGCCCCAAGGGTAGTCCCAACTGTAGCATTTCCTCATCGTTGAAGGCATAAGGATCCTTTCGCTCTCGTAGTTGATAAAGGGCATCTCTTGCAAAGTCAGGCACTGGAATCTGGAATACCTTGTAGTCCTTGATAAAGTACTGGACAATAATGCTAACCAACTGGGGATCCTGATAGTGCTCCTTGAGTTGGGCATTTGCATTCTTGGAATGATCATTGTTGCCCAATCCAGGTGGATAGACCCGATCAAACTGTTCATCTGTCAATTCAAATGGCTGCAGCATTTTGCGTACAGCATAGCGTGTTGAGTCATGATCTTGAAGCCGTTTCTTGGTGGTGAATACGTCATCCAGGACATCTCGTGTCACACCACCACAATGCTGCACTTGTGGATGAAAGTGGCCGTCTACTTTTTCTGGATCCATGTCTTTCAATAAGAAGACCGCCTCCGGAAAAGTCACATTGCTTCCACCAAAGACGCTCTCGCAGTAAACTCTGGTTCTGCCACGGCACTTGTCCAGCCATCCAGATAGGAACCGGCTCAGTGGTTCACGGTAAAAGACTGCCTTTTCCCATTTCATATTCTGCATTACATCACGAAGATTCTGGCGTAGAATCCTTTCTGTGATACCCTCGCTGTGCAGATTGGAAAATATTTTCTTGAAAAAGGTGCAACCCACCTTTTCAATCCAACAGAACATCAACTTGTGCTTGTCATTGTGAGCAAACAGATAGTGACTGGGATATTTTGTCTGTGCTTTGAGGGCCTCTTGAATTCGTTTCTGTTTGTCTTGCTTTCGTTGCTGTTCACTAACTTGGTCGCCGTTCATCATTGGTGGCAAATAAAGGGCAGCGGACGTGGAAGGACGGATTATGCCAAGAAGACAAAGCCCAGAGAAGGAGCGCAGTAGCTTGCACAGCTCCCATGTCTTCTGAAATTTGGATGTGGCTGAGCTGCACGACGGCAAATGCTGTTCCTGCTGGTGGGGTACGGTACAGTACAAACCAAGTCTTTGCGGCCGTGCAAAGTTTCTTCAGCGAGGCAAATTTCCAGGATCCTCACCACCGTGGACATAGTCTATCTGAAGTGGATTGCATCGAATTCGAATGATTCGATTCGAGTGACGAGTCAATCGATGATTCAAATGAAAGGGCCGGAAATCACGATTTTATGAATCTAACCAAATTGATCAATTCGAAACCTAAATATAAAACCGAAACCTAAATATAAAACCGAAACCTAAATATAAAATCGAAACCAAATTACTATGGTAATTAACTAGTAAAATCAAGCCGAAACCAAAATATAAGATCGAAACCAAAATATAAAACCGAAACCAAAATATAAAATCGAAACACAAGTATAAATCGGAATTTGGTGTAAATCGCCATTTCGGGCCCTTTCAATCAAGTCACTTCCTGGCATGCTTTCAGTCAGATCAGTCAGTCAGAAGACGACGCGCACCCGCTTTTTTTTAAAAACTCGTGTATTACACTGATAAAAATGCATGTCCTTTATAGATACTAGTAGCGCCGCACTTATATCTCATCACACACGCAAAAACCAGTGTGTGAATTGGAAGTGGTCATTATCCAAATTGGAGGCAGCCAAGGAAAGCCGCATATCAGACTAGATCCCTCGCTCGAGAAGGCTCCATTGACATTCATTCAGTGGGTGATTTTTGGTTTCTTCATGAGCCTGATAATTGAAGCCGTATCATCATCAAACAGTTCCAAGTCATTCTTCGAGATTGCCACCAACCAATCACGTTTCTCCTGCTTCGCTTTTGTGTCCGAAGGCTTATATCCATCAGGAGCAACCTGCCCAGCCACCTTCTCCCACTTAAGTTCCGCTGGACACTGGACAAGAAGACGATGGCATGGACGTGAATTAGAAACCAACTTGTCCTTCACAGCATTCCATTTCTGGGTCAAACTGTCAGGGAGGTTGAGTTGTCGCTCTGCTGGTTTGTTGCGCTTCTTGTAGTACAACCAGTCCGGAACCAAGGTTCGAAGTGCATCCGCTTGATGGTCATACTTCTCATACTTCGATTGGACCAGGCAGCTCCGAAAGTCCGAGAAAAGTTTATTCCACATCAAGTAAAGTACATCGGGACCAAAGTTGTTGTCAGGATAACAGTACGGCTCAACTTGACCTTCGATTGTGCAATTTACGGCTGCCTCTATCCATTCAATGGTTGCCTTCATTGCATCCAGACTTGCCTCGCCAGTATCGAGCGTGAGGACACCATAAGATGACTTGGTAGATGGGAAGAAGCCCTCGAGCTGCTGTGCCTTGGATTCCTTCAGTTGCTTCTGGAAGTGCACCTTCAAGGTACCCTTGTCGTCTTGCAGCAAGACTGGAAGCAAAACCCTCTCAAAAGCCTGTCCTAGGCCGTTGTTTTCCTGGACCATCAGGTTTTTCCGCAAGTAGCTAGCCAGGCAGAAGTAGTTGATACCCGCCTGGACAATGATGGGCTCATCCAGTACAGCCTTGGGGGGTTAAATTACTCATTTAGCTTAACAAGCGATTGGCCACGGAGTGACTTTATTGACGCGGGCAAGTGGTGCGGGAGCAACACACCTGGCCATTTCTAAGTAATTTTCACCGGGACTTGATCGTTAAGTAAACAAAAAAGTGAAAAATCGAATTTTCGCTATTTTATGTTTTCCTCCAAAATTTCAAATAACTCTTAAATTGTTCATCAGATTCAATTCCAACTTGCATTCCGGTACTAGCTAGTAGTCTCTTCCATTCATTCTGTTTGTTGTTATGGTGTGGTTCGCTACTGGTACCTGATACTATTGTACTGCAAACTACTGCTTCTCCTGGGCGCGTCGCTCACCGCGAGGACTTTGTTGTTGTGGTTGTGTCGCTCGCCTCGAGGGCTTGTGATTGCGGTTGTCGCTCGCCGCGAGGGCTTTTGTTGTCGGTCTGTCGCTCGCCGCGAGGGCTTGTTGTTGCAGTTGGTCTGTCGCTCGCCGCGAGGGCTTGTTCAATTCTTCATCATGTTTGTTGGTTTGCTGGTACGGTCTTGTTTGTTGGCATCGTGTGGTGCTCTGGTGCTGTTGATGTTGTGAGTTGTGGGTGTTGTCGCTCAAACGCAGCGAGGGCTTGGTTGAGGTGGAACTACAGTACTGCTTCTTCTGGGTGCGGTCGCTCAAACGCCACGAGGGCTTACTGCTGTGGGTGCGGTCGCTCAAACGCCGCGAGGGCTTGTTCAATCCTTCATCCTGTTGGTTTGCTGGTGCCGGTGGTTGTGTTGTTGTTGCTTCTGTTGCTTCGAGGTTGAGAACAGCTCTTGAGCTGATGGTAGCTGTGGCAATTTCGACGATTTCAACTCTTTTTTCCGTTTTCACTAGCACCCCAAATGTCACAGAGCAAACCTGCATAAATAGAATTCTTGACCTGCTTAAATAGAACTTCTAACCTGTAATTTCATTGAATCACCTCCTTAAATATGGTTGAAATGGCCAACGGTGTATTGCCTCTAAAACACACCACTCACTTAAGGGACCTGCCCCCACGGTTTAACCATCGCTTCGCTCCGGTTAAACCTGGGGCCAACGGTCCCATAAGTGAGAGGGTGTGTTTTTAGAAAATCCCCACCTAGCTGAGTCGTCATCTACTTGTTTGCCCAATCAACATGACCTCATCCACTGGCCCAACGTGGAGCCAGCACCAAGTAGACAGATGCCCTGGGTAGGGGGTGAGCACATTGATAGGGAACCTGCAGCGAGCAAAACCCTGGGTTACAGGGGCTTACACAGGATTTTTGTCGGTATTGAAACCATTATGCACAAAGGGGCCGTGAGAGGACCAGATAGATTGCCAGAACCAAAGAGTGCTCGCCAGTAAGTGTGTCTGGGTGATCAGGTCCCAGTTGTGGCAATGCCTTGGCATGCAAGGCAAGAAGCCAGCAGAGCCCGTAGGAGGTGGTACTCCTCAGGCTGGACCAGAGCAGGGTGTAACCCATCCAATTCACAAAAATTGTTAGATAAGGCCAACAAGCAGGCAGAAAATGGGGTCAAATGACACAATGGCAGTCTGTGGTTCCCGAGGGAGCACAGTGGCTGCTGGAGTTGTGGGGCTGTTCAGGGGTTGTTGAGTCAATAGAAGGAGGATAAGGGGCACTGGAATTGGGCTGGTGCAGGGGCAGGAGGGGAGATCCTGTTGGTGTTGAGGTTGTTGTGGAGTTGGGATGTACAGGTTGATGGTGTGTTGTCAGGATAGAGTCGTGCCTCTGTTCAAGGTGAGAACAAAGGCATCCTCCTGATAGGGTAGGGTGTGATCGAAGGGTGTGATCCCAAGATGCTGCATGCTCTAGGAGCTTTGGCTGATCATCTGGGGATTGGTGTTGTGAAGTCTGCGGGATGGTGGATGTGGTGTTGGGTGAAGTGTGGGATGGGGGGTGTCTGGGAGGACTTGGGTTTCAGTGAAGGTGTGGGTAGACATGGGGAAGTCATGGTGGGTGAGGTGGGTTGGTGGGAGAGTTGTGTATCCTGGAGTGTTGACTGTAGTGTCGTTGCTTACAAGCAAGCAATGGAGGTTGCTCGTGAGGTGGCGAGAGATTGATGTAGAGTTATTCAAGGTGCATGCACATGAGGCACTGTAATCAAGGTTTTATATCAGTTGTGGTTGTTGTTGCCACTGGGATCAAAGGCTGCCAAGTTGGTCAGGATACCACTACTGCAGTAAGATGGAAAAGCCAAAGCTGTTAGGGATTCCTTTCAAGAGAAACTGGAGAGTCAGTTAGCCAGTAGAGGCAGTGTGGGGGATCAAGGTGTTGTGGTGATGGGCTGTGTTACGGATGAACTGTGTTTCTCAAAGGTGTACTATTCTGGGAGGCCCGTTAGCAGAGGTCAAGCCCAGATTGGAGAGGACTCGTTCAGGTGAACTGGGAAAGCACTGAGAGTCACTCAACAACATGAGAGGGAAAGATCCAGTATGTTATATCTAGCCACCCACTGCAGTTCTGTCTGGGGTCAATCCTTTGGAGCACCACACTCAGTAGGAGGCAATAGGAGCGGAGGTGGCTGGTTCAATGAAGGTTTTGCACAATCTGTCTATAACAGAGGGGCAACTTTTTAGTTGTTCTTGTGGGGTGAAATCCTAGAGAGGATTGTATCCCAGGGAGAAGGCTAGAAAACCTGGAAAACACGAAAACGCCAAGCCTGGTTGATATGTCCAAGGAAGGAAACTATGCTCAGTAACTCCGACGAAAAGGCTGAGGCAGTATCCAACTTGTAACCAACTCAAGTCCTTACAGGAACTCTGTTGTTGTTTGTTGTTCCTCTTGGGGAGGAGTTAGATATCAATGGAGGGGTGGTAACAGTAGTAGGATCAATGCCAACAAGGACGTCGGGAGAAACCAAGAGTGGCCGGTGAGAAAGTAAGAAATACAGCTGTGTTTCTGTTCTCGACGGTCACTGCAGGTATCTCGTGAAGTTCTTCTTGATGATAGTAGAGGCTGGAGTTCGATCCGAGGAAGAGGTACGTTCGCGGGAAGAGGTACGTGTCAATTCACGGGAGCGAGTCTTGGATCAATTCGGAAGGACGATTCGATTCAGAGGATTCGATTCGAATCAACGTCACCGGTTGCCTTAGGGGTAAGGTTAACCGAGCCTGTTGTTGTTGGTAGAGGAGGAGGATCGATCGTTCGAAGAAGAGGATCGGCCGACAATGGGATTTCTTGGGCCGTCGGTAGTAAGAGCAATGTCAGTTCACTGCAGGGTATGGAGGCAACTTGCACTGCTGAGTCTACTGAAAGCCGGTGACTTCTTCTTGTGTTCAAATTCTTCCAACTTGGCCGTCAGTGGTCGAGAATAGAAAACCTGCCCGATCTCGTAGGATTTCAATTGGGATGGCTTTCTAATCTGGACCGGAGAACGCCGCGTTGACAGTCGCTTGATAGGAGAGGTGCGCAGGAGATAGGAGGTATCGATCCTGTCGACTGGAGGGGCTTGAATGGGGGATAAAGAGAGGAAAAGGGAGTGTGTTTCCTGTGATGACGTTGAGCGGATTCCTATAGTAAAACAGTACTCTTCAACAAGATAACAGAAAACAGGCTTCCTGAGGTCCTTTCGCTTCGTTTCAATGCTTCTAAGAGTGTGTCCCGACAACTATTGGCCTCTCTTTATTCTTGATTTTAATTTTTGGTAAATGCTTTGCGCAGGTGGAAATCAAAAGCCTAAAAACAAAAGTGCCTCCCGACTACATAGACCATTTTTAGGTTCTTTATTCGATTCCCGCAAGCCATATCTCTAATGATGTAGCCAATTTGGCTATGTCATGGCATGAACGATCGACATCATCATTGCTTGTGTACGTAGGACAATCCTTCTTTCTTCTGCATTTATTAACCATAAAATGCCAAGATGCTGAAGCTTTTCCTTGTTATCCTTGGGCTTTGTTGGCTGAATGTTTGGGGAGGCGACGGCCAAGTGCGACGGGATACAGCTTACAATTCAGCTTTACAGCTTTATAAATTGCGGGCCTATTCTAGAAAATAATCAATAACTGCTCACTTATTTGGAAATACAAACTTTACATCTCTTAGATCGTTAGATTAATCAATCCACAATGGTATTGTCGAATGGTAGCATGCGAGGTTATGAGATGTTACTCATTCTTATTCTTATATGTCTATCCCTTATGGTTGTCAATGGAATGAGCTATCCCTTGGTGCAGAGTCCTGAGTTTCCTCTCATTATCTTCATCGGTATAGTCCTTCCCCTTGTTGCAACTTAATCTTGTCGATTGATCCATATGTCTCCCTTTTTCGATACCTTGGATTCGCTGCTAAGCAATCCCCTTTGTATGCTTGATTCGCTCGTAAGATCCACTGGATCTCGCCCCATGTTCATTAATCTCGTTGTCGATCGAAATCGTCGATGAGGATCTATTATCTTGACGACTCGGTTGTGTGTCATGCATTGAGTCATGCTTCCGGAGCCACTTTACCCCCTATTATCTGTTCGAATTTCCTTAGATCTTAAGTCTTTTATTGAGTCATGCTTCAGTTCCTCATTTTTTATTAACTCGAGTACTCGAAACAACAACCCAACAACAATAGCGACAGTGTTGGTGTTCGAGTGGCATCGGCGATTCCTCCGGTTGCTATGCTTGCTGTTTGCAGTCGTTCGTTTGAACTGGCTTGCAATGGGTCGTTTGGAAAGAAACAACGCGCTGTCGCTGTTTTAAAAATTTAAATTTGAATTTGAATTTGCCAAACAATTCGAGTTGGGCCTCAACCTCGACGTCAGATCCATGCAACCACTCATAAATTCCATCTTCGATTAACTCGATTGACTGGATATACACCGCTCTCCTCCTCCTATTGCCATTGCTCTTGTTGCCATTGCCGCACTGGTGACCTTGTTGATTTTCAATGCCTCCTATTCCATCAGCTATT